TAGTAAGGTGGCTTATAGATTTTAGTGATAAGGATAGCTTTGCATTAGGAGGAATATCGAGGATGAAGATGACTGCAGTACCCTCTTTAATATTATTATTTATGATAATTTGAAATCATTGTAACTATACTACAAGTTTTTCATTGAAGTCTGTACAGCATCAGAATGATCCAAATATTGTTTATACTAATATGGTCATGGAGCTACATGAAGTTCTGTGTCCCCAAAACATTAGACTCATTTCTGTTAGCGCATGTGGTTCATTCTTACTGCCCCTGCAAGAAAATAGTCAAAACAATGTACTTTCATTTTCGTGGCTGTCAGAGGAATAACAAAAATTCTATTCTATTCAGATTTGAAGGAGTGCGTTTTGGCACTTGATGAGAAAATGGAAAGTAATCAGACCCCTAAAGCTGACAGTCTTAAACATGCTATTACATCACATAGATGCGGCCTGGTCTCTGCCGTCAGAGCAGGGAGCTTGTGTGCTTTGGTCTGTGCCTCATGAAGTTGATAAGGGATCGCAGTTGTTGCTGGCAGCTCCTGGCAGCTCTACCCTGTGTGATATTTATTATGTTACAATTTTTTTTTTTTACTTACTTATTTGAAAGAGTTATGGAGAGAGAGAGAAGGAGAGACAAAGAGAGATCTTCCATCCACTGGTTCACTCCCTAGATGGCCACACAGCCAGGGCTGGGCCAGGCCGGGGTTGGGCCAGGCTGAAACCAGGAGCCAAGAACTTCATCCAGGTCTCCCACATGGGTTGCAGGGGCCCAAATACTTGGGCCATCTTCTGATGATTTCCCAGGCCACTAGTAGAGAGCTGAATCAGAAGTAGAGAAGCCAGGACACAAACCAGTGCCCATATGGGATGCTGGAGTCACAGGCAGTGGCTTTACCTGCTATGCTACAAAGGCAGCCCCATATGTTACAGTTTCATACAGACTTTAGGTGTTGTCTTTGCTGCCCATGATCATCATATTTGAAGATTTTGCAGGCAGATTGGCATATCAGTTCTCTTTTGTTGTCTTCTGGCACAGGATTACATTGTGGCCTTTTTAACGTGGAATGTGTGTGGAAACCTGAAAGTTGAGCTTAAAGGCTTTGTGAAGCAACTTGATTTCAGTGAAAACTGTAGAGAAAATAGTTGTCTTGACTCTTATGTGTTAGGAGAGAGATATTTGAGTTCTCAATCTAAAAGGTACTGGGTAATCACCCATGTACTGCCACCTGCAAGGACTAGCTGCTGGGAATGAGCAGAGAATTCAAGCCGTCAGGATTTAGGCCAAGCTGAAGTAGCCCCAAGATGTCAAAACAAGTAGGGAAGGAGATGTGACATCCTCTTCTACAGAAATATGGAAGAATAGTCTAGATTGGCTCATTTGTGTCCAATTTTTAGAGTGTGAGGAAGGAACTATACCAATTTTATTTTTTATTCCACTGCCACATTTGCATTGTCAAATATTAGGAATCAGAATTTGAGTTTTAGAATCATTTTAATTTAAGTTCTTCAAAACTGATATATACTGTAATCCTTTCCCAGAAATGACCCAGTATATAAAGATTATATTTTAAAACAATTTTCACAGTCTGAGTAAAGGTGGATCTGTTTTCTAACCTGATTTTGCTCTGTGTGTGTGTGTGTGTGTGGTTTTAAAATTGATGAAAAAAAATGTGTGTACCTTGAGAAATTCTCCCTTGTACATATATTTAAACATATATCCTTATAACCAGTACTGTTATTAAAATAGAGATTCCCAAATGAGTAGATAAAGTTTAGATCTGAAATGCATAATCTTGACAGCTATTAAAGTTAAGTGAGAATGTGGCAAAGCAGGTAGCTAATAGAAGACTAACCAAAATAGCTCTGGGAAATGGGTCTAACAAATTGTATTTATGTGCAAGACTGAAAAGCAGTCAGAAATGGATGTAAATTCATTAATGCTGCAGCTTATTTATTAAAGTTTTGATTATGTTGATGTTGCCTGATAAATTTCCCATCAGACACATTATTTTCCTCACAAATGAATGCATCAAAATGTGTTCATTTGGGTGATTTGCTGGGTTTGATGCATATTCACATCTTCAGTCCTTGTAAATGGTTTTGTCAATAAATGTTCTGGAAAGAATTAAGTACGACGATTCATTGGCAGATGCTAATGTCTGATCTTAATTTGCCATGTAGCCTTGCATTTGTAACATATATTAACAGAAGTCTGACTTAGATAAAATACTAACAACAGCTATAATTGGTGTAGGCCCCTGGAAGGTACACTGGCTCCCCCTGAATGTGGATCCCCATTCTGTGTTTTTGTTTTTGTTTTAAGATTTATTTATTTATTTAAAAGGCAGAGTTACAGAGAGGCAGAGGCAGAGAGAGAGAGAGAGAGGTCTTCCATTCAGTGGTTTATTCCTCAATGGCCAGAGCCGAGCTGATCTGGAGCCAGGAGCTTCTTCCAGGTTTCCCACATGAGTGCAGGGGCCCAAGGCCTTGGACCATCTTCTACTGCCTTCTCAGGCCATAGCAGAGAGCTGGATATAGGACTCAAACCAGTGCCCATATGGGATGCCAACGCTGCAGGCTGCAGCTTTACCCACTACACCACAGCACCATACCCTCCCCCATTCTGTTAAGGTACAACCTCGTCCTTTTGATATGAGATAGGAATAACCAAACTGCTTTAGTCACCAAAATGTGTGTGTGTGGAGGGAGATTTTCCCACACATCAAGGAAGCAATTCTCCAATGCGCAGTAACTGAGTATCTTACAATTTAATTCAATTCTAACACAATCTACACATTCACGGGTAAAGGACTCACACCCACAAGACCATCCCTCTCATTGTGATCTGTGCTGCTGACTGCCTATACATTGGGGTTCCCAGGACTTCCTCGTTGTGTCCGATTATTTTGCTAGAGTGGCTCACAGGAACTCAGGGACACCTCTTACGTATCCTGTTTGATTGCGAAGGACGTTGCAAAGGATATAGATGAACAGCTGGATAGAAGAGATGCGGAGTTGGGCAAAGTATGGCCAAAGGGTCACAAAGCTTCCTTGCCCTGGTGGGGTACAGCGGTCTCCACGGTTAACAATCTGGAAGCCCTCTAAACCTTTTCATTTGGGGTTTTTATGGAGGCTTTGTTAGGTAAGCATGAGTGATTACATCATGGGCCACTGATGGTCAGCTCAGCCTTCGGCCCTTCTGGAAATGTGTGCCAGGAACCAGGGCAGAGACCACACGTAGTATAGATCACAGTCGCACATGGAATTAAAGTTTCCCTGGATCTGTCCTGTGCATTTAATAATTTCTCCATGTGGAACTTTCTGACAGGATTTATTGCTGGCTTTCTCTGACTTTATAGCTTTCGTCCCTGTAATTTTCACTCCAATATACTGCTCCGCAATTCTTGAAGGCAGTCCAATGTGTGCTGTTTCCAGAGAGTTCAGTTGTGTGCAGTGTACATGTACTGAGCAACTGTGCTGATGCGGGGAGCGCAGTGATGCATATACCATGGGCTTTGCTCTCATGGAGTTGATTGTGGAGCTGGGGACACAGACCCTGAAACAGGCAATTTTCAAGGTATGTAGTAAGAACTATGATGGTGGCATACAGAGGGAGTAATCGGTCACTTAACACAGTTCTGTATTAAAGGCAGTTGTGAGATACTTCCCTCCACCAAAAAAGTGGAAAACTTGATTTTTCAAAAATTCACAGCCAGTTTGAGGAGTGAGTGCCTTAATCCAACTGCAAGTACTAAAAGCCCAAACAGCAAAACTTACTTGGTTTGTCCCTGAAACTCCAGTCAGTGCCACGTATCACAAAGCTTTAAAGCAAGGGAATGTTTCCAATGTCTAAATATAGTCCCTCCTTCTGTAACTCAGGCTTCTTACTAGTAAAAACAGGACTGCTACTTAAACATGGTTTATAGCCTAATTATAAAATCCAGATCTTCTCTATGGAGTCTGGAGATTCACACGCTGTGACCATTGGTGCCATGGTTACAGGTGTGGTTGAAGACTGCTGCCCTCAGGTCCGGAGGCAGCCAGAGTCCTCCCTACAGTGGACCGCGTTAATATCACCACGTTTTATGTGCCATGACATGAGAAGAGCTGGAAACTGCTACTGTAGACCACCTGCCTTCACTTCTCTTCAGAAGGCCATTTTTCCAAACAATCACGTGTGTAACTTATTAACCCAATTCCAATTCATATAAGGAACTTTAGTTCAAGAATTCTGAAGAGAAGATTCTCAAAAGAAAATAACTTCTTGTGAAGCCAAAGAGAAGATGATTCTTAGGTCTCCAGTGAGCATGAGTTGATTTCCTAAAAAGTTCCTTTTGGCCACAGTAGTTGAGTGATCAGCTTGATGAAACTAAGCCTCTACTTCTAGAGCTTTTGATAGGCATTATGAATAGTGGACTTTGTGAGTAGTTGGCATATAAGGCAAATAACCCGTAAAAATTGCATATCCTACTATTCATCACTTTTTGTTTGTTTTAACGTCATCTAAAAAAAATTAGTTCTTACAAGGCACTGTATGACTTCAGAAATCCATTAGTGAGCAGATGCATGGTGTCTGCCTCAACGGAGTTTGTTGTCTGTTGGAGAAAACAGATGATTAAAGAAGTGATTAGAACATAGTAGAGATGGTTGTTGAGACTAGAAGGTGGTTTCTTGTATATAAAATTACTCATGGATCAAATTATGTAGACTTAATTGGGTCTTCTTGTTTCTTTTACAGAAAAGGGTAACTTTTGGTATAATTTAGAGGGTCTCAACTGAATATCACTTCTTTATTTTATGTAAATTGAGAAATATTTCTGTTTATTCTGTAATATACAGTTCATCTGAATAACATCAAGATTTTCAGTTTGCATTTTAACTTGATCAGAAGGTAGTCTTGTTTTTAACATAATTTACTTTTTACTTGTAGCCTTTAATTCTAGGTATGAGCAAATAAGGCTACAATTTAGTACTCTCTTGCCTTTTATGTTTTCAGGGAAGGTGTTCATGTAAATCAAGAATTGCTGCAAATATCTCCCAGTATTACAGAGCAGTTCATTGAACTGTTGTGTCAATTCAGCCCAAACCAAGTTATAGAGACCCTGCAAGTCCTTGAGTGCTACCGCCTAGAGGAAACTATTCAGGTAAGACTAGTAATGTAGCAAAGATAAGGATAAACTTTCCCTACGCATTCTCTATTTGACAGGTGAATGCCTAGAGTCTCACATATAAAGATACGTCTATAAATTTATAACTAGTTTGTGATGGTGCCTGAGACGGAGCCCAGACAGTCTGACTTGAGAGTTCTTGCTCTTAATTTCTATGATAAAGTACTTCCCTATTTATGTTATTAAAGTCAGAAACAACACATGTCCACAGCTGTTATTAACCAAACTTGTTGCAAATTCTAGCCAACACATAAAGCCTGGAGAAAAGAATACAGTAAAAATGCTAAAAGGAGAAGACCAGGCTCTTATTTGCAGACACTGATGATTAGTCCTGTTGCATTCTGAAGCATAACAGGCTAAATAACAATATGGCAGCTTTAGCACCCTCATTACTGTTTTTTCCTCTGGTTTCCAAATGAAAATTATGTATGTGTGGATATACATGTGTGTGTGCATGACACACTCTCGAGTAGGTACTGTAATTTCTAAAAGACTAGTATATTCCCTGTTTAAAATTTAATTTTAAGCTACCATTGTATTTCTTTTCCTCTTCTGTCAACCCAGTTGAAGCAGAAAACTGTGTTTTCTGCAGTCCACCTCCTGAAGTGCTCACATACTTCAAAAAATGTTTAATTATGGAATATTTCAAATATATAGAAATGTGAAGAACACCAAATGCATTTGTGCCCACCAACACAATTTCGTAGTTGTTAACACTTGGCCAAACAGGCTTCAGATCTTCGTTGTCTTGTTGATTTTAAAGATTAACCACCCTTTATCCATCCCTTTCCTTTTCCCTGATGTCATCGCAGCCAAAAGCTGAAGTTTATCCATCCAGTCCATGTTTCAGATTTTTCCTGTGCCTATATATCTATATATGCATAAAATATGTGATATACAGTTTTATGTTGTTGTGTTGTTTTTTTGTTTTGTTTTTGCTTTTGTTTTACAAGCAGAGTGGACAGTGAGAGAGAGAGACAGAGAGAAAGGTCTTCCTTTTGCCGTTGGTTCACCCTCCAATGGCCGCCACGGCCAGCGCACCGCGCTGATCCTAAGGCAGGAGCCAGGTGCTTCTCCTGGTCTCCCATGGGGTGCAGGGCCCAAGCACTTGGGCCATCCTCCACTGCACTCCCGGGCCACAGCAGAGAGCTGGCCTGGAAGAGGGGCAACTGGGACAGAATCCGTCGCCCCGACTGGGACTAGAACTTGGTGTGCCACCGCCGCTAGGCGGAGGATTAGCCTATTGAGCTGCGGCGCCGGCCAGTTTTATGTTTTTAACAATTCTGTTAATGATATCATAAAGTACATATCCTATTTCAAATAGCTTTTTTCACTAAACATTTAAGTCTGTTTTTATATAGTTAGATCTCCCTCATTCATATTAATGATCATGTAATGGTCTATCAAAAAGAATTTGCCAGCTTATTTGTTTTTCTGATGATACATATTTAGGTTTCCAATCTTTTGCTGTTGTAAGCACTGCTACAGTAGAAATCCATGTACAAATCTTTGTCTGGTCGTATGAGGTTTCTGTAAGATACCTGGAAATGGAATTGGCTTGATAATAGAGAGCAGCATGCTTCTGCTGGTATTGCCAAGTTGATTACCTAAGTGTTTCTATTCTTATCAGAAGTGTTTGATAGTTGCTACTTTTCCACATCCTTCCTGATTCCTAATATTTTTTGGACTCCATTTTTGCCACTGTGATGGCTGTCATTGATTACTTGTGGCACAGACATCTTTCCATATATATGCAATGCCTTTGGGATTTTCTTTTCTCTGAATTATCTATTCATTTCATTTGCCCATTTTTTTTCATTGAGTTTTTGCCCTTTGCTTGTTTCTAATTTCTGGATAGCAAATCCTTTCTGATCTTATGTGCTAGAAATGCCTTCTACTAATCTATTGTGACGTACCTTTTCACTTCATTTTTAGTAGCTTTTTAAATTTATCAGTCTTTTCCTTTAAAGTTTTAAGTTTCTATATCTTATTTGCTTTCCTATTGTGATGGCCCATAGGATAGTCTCTTATATAAATTCTGTGGTTTAGCTTCTTACATTTAGGCTTTTAGTCCATCTGGAATTTGTTTTTATAGCCTGATCATGAGGGATTTATATCTTTTCCCCCATGTGATGGCTAATGGTCCATGTGGCACTTTATTATCCTTTCCTCACCGATTTTTATGTCATGTGGTCATATCCCACTCTCCCAAATACACATGCTTTTGTTATTTGTGTTTCCCTGTACTGAGCCTACACATTTTAATTAATATAGCTTCATAATAAGCTTATTATTTGAAGAAGGAGCCCTTTAATTTAAAAGTGCAATGAATTTATAGTTTACCTCTGGAAGAATTAAAAGTCTCTACAGTATTGATTCTTCACATTCAGGAACATAGTTACCTTCAGAAAATGACTTTTTTGTTCTGTGTGAGGTTTTATAACTTTTTTATAAGGTTCTTGTACATATTTTTATAAATTTGTTCCCAGATACTCTGCAGTTCTTATTAGCATTGTTCAAGGAATTTCTTTTTTTTTTTTTTTTTAAGATTTATTTATTTATTTGAAAGTCAGAGTTACACAGAGAGAGGAGAGCCAGAGAGAGAGAGAGAGAGAGAGAGAGAGGTCTTCTGTCCGATGATTCACTCCCCAGATGGCCACAATGGCCGGAGCTGCACTGATCCAAAGCCAGGAACCAGGAGCTTCCTCCCAGTCTCCCACGCAGGTGGCAGGAGCCCAAGGACTAGGGCCATCCTCTACTGCCTTCCCAAGCCATAGCAGAGAGCTGGATTGGAAGTGGAGCAGCCGGGACTAGAACTGGCACCCACATAGAATGCTGGCGCTTCAGGCCAGGGCATTAACCCCCTGTGCCATAGCGCCGATCCCTCAAGGAATTTCTTGAAATGACATTTTAAAATTATTTGATGCTGATGGCCAGCACCGTGGCTCACTAGGCTAATCTTCCACCTGCGTGGGCACCCTGGGTTCTAGTCCCTGTTGGGGCGCCAGTTCTGTCCCTGTCTCTCCTCTTCCAGTCCAGCTCTCTGTTGTGGCCCGGGAAGGCAGTGGAGGATGGCCCAAGGGCTTGGGCCCTGCACCTGCATGGGAGACCAGGAGGAAGCACCTGGCTCCTGGCTTCGGATCGGCGCAGTGCGGCAGCCATAGCAGCCATTTGGGGGGTGAACCAACAGAAAGGAAACCTTTCTCTCTGCCTGTCAAAAAAAATTTATTTGCTGCTGGTATTTTAGAATGTTACTAATTTTTGTATATTGCTTTCTCATCTAGTCAGCAGGGTGAATTCTAGTTCAAATAGTTTCTATATTGTTATGGCCATTTTCTAAGAATAATGGTAATGTTTTGTTTGTTTTGTTTTTCATTCCCTTCTTACACTTTGTTCTTTCTGTTATCAGATGTCTAGGAGTTCTAGAATATTATTAAACAGAAGCAATATAGTGGGTTTTGTTAGCCTTTTTCTTGATGTAAAAAGGAATGTATCTAATATTTTACATTAAATGCAGTGTTTATTGCAGAATTTTGTTAGACAACTTTTATTAAGAATGTTGATTTCCAATTTAGGCAAGAGTATTTTGTTTTAGATTTTGTCATAAATAGGTAATGAATTTTACCAGATGCTTTTCTTGCATTTATTGACGTGTTTACATGTTTTCACTCTCAACCTGTTAGACTATTAATGTGTTATTTTGGGCATTTTCTTTTTTCTTACTTCTAAGGATGTTTTTCTACTATATTAATCTTTCTAAAGAAGCTACTTTGGAGTTTGTTAACCTAATACAGTTTACTTTCTGTCATTTTCTGTACTCTTCCTGTCTTTGATCTTTTTTTACTAATTGGGAATTTCTAGTTTACCAATTATATATTAAGATCGTATTAAATGACATGCAGTGTTTTCATAGTTATGTTATTCTAAATAACTTGTATGTAGTTACACTTGATCAATGTTGATTTTATCACTGTTTATGTATATGTGTTAGCTTTTTTCCAGTGGATAGACCTCACTGAGTTATGTAACAGTTTTTGTAATAAGTAAAAGTAAAAATGAATGAATTTGGTCCTATTATAACTTTTAGATCCACTATTATAAGACTAGAAGAGCAAATATTTGCATATTATACTGTAAAATGGCACACCTATTAAGATATGAATTCTTTATTTACTATTATGTTGTATCTTTCTCCTCAGTGGGATCTTCCTACTCTGTAAACAAAATTTGTGTACAAAAACATTTATTTTCTTTTCTAGATTACTCAGAAGTATCAGCTTCATGAGGTCACTGCTTATCTGTTAGAAAAGAAAGGAGACATTCATGGAGCCTTCTTAATAATGCTAGAGGTAACGTTTTGCTCCATGTGCTTTGTTGTATCTCTGTCTATTCCTCTATCCATTCATCACCCTATCTTAATTTATTATGTTTCAAGGTAAGTTGCAGACAATAGTAAATTTCACCTATGAGTATTCTTTTTTTTTTAACTTTTATTTAATGAATATAAATTTCCAGAGTACAGCTTATGGATTACAATGGCTTCCCCCCCATAACATCCCTCCCACCCACAACCCTCCCCTTTCCCACTCCCTCTCCCCTTCCATTCACATCAAGCTTCATTTTCAATTCTCTTTTCTTTTTTTTTTTTTTTTTTTGACAGGCAGAGTGGACAGTGAGAGAGAGAGACAGAGAGAAAGGTCTTCCTTTGCCATTGGTTCACCCTCCAATGGCCGCCGCGGCTGGCACGCTGCGGCCGGCGCACCGCGCTGATCCGATGGCAGGAGCCAGGAGCCAGGTGCTTTTCCTGGTCTCCCATGGGGTGCAGGGCCCAAGCACCTGGGCCATCCTCCACTGCACTCCCTGGCCACAGCAGAGAGCTGGCCTGGAAGAGGGGCAACCGGGACAGAATCCGGCGCCCCAACCGGGACTAGAACCTGGTGTGCCGGCGCCGCTAGGCAGAGGATTAGCCTAGTGAGCCGCAGTGCCGGCCCTCGATTCTCTTTATATACAGAAGATCAGTTTAGCATACATTAAGTAAAGATTTAACAGTTTGCTCCCACACAGAAACATAAAGTGAAAAATACTGTTTGAGTACTAGTTATAGCATTAAATCACAATGTACAGCACACTAAGGACAGAGATCCTACATGAGGAGTAAGTGCACAGTGACTCCTGTTGTTGACTTAACAAATTGACACTCTTGTTTATGGCCTCAGTAATCACCCTAGGCTCTTGTCATGAGCTACCAAGGCTATGGAAGCCCCCTGAGTTCACCAACTCTGATCATATTTAGACAAGGCCATGGTCAAAGTGGAAGTTCTCTCCTCCCTTCAGAGAAAGGTACCTCCTTCTTTGATGACCCGTTCTTTCCACTGGGATCTCACTCATGGAGATCTTTCATTTAGGTTTTTTTTTTTTCCCCCCAGAGTGTCTTGGCTTTCCATGCCTGAAATACTCTCATGGGCCTTTCAGCTGGATCTGCATGCCTTAAGGGCTGATTCTGAGGCCAGAGTGCTGTTTAGGACATCTGCCATTCTATGAGTCTGCTGTGTATCTCACCTATGAGTATTCTTATCATGCATAGCTTTGACAAGAGTTCAGTGTTTCTGTATGAAACCTTTTTTGTTTAAATTTTTATTTATTGGAGAGACCTAGAGGGAGCACCCATCCTCTGATTCACTCTCCAAATGCCCACAGGGTTAGGACTTATCCAAGCCAAAGCTAAGAATCAAGAACTATATCAGGTGTCCCACATGAGCAGTAAGAACCCAATTACGTGGGCCATCACTTCTGCCTCTCAGGATCTGCCTTAGTAGGAAGCTCAAGTCAGGAGCTGGAGGCAGATGTCAAACCCATGCACTTCAATATGGGACATGTGTGTCTTAACCACTAGGCTAAATGCCCACCCCATGATGTTTGTTTAAAGGTAAAATTTACATACAGCAAAAAGCACAAGTTTTAAGTGTATCATTTGATGAGTTTTTGATAGATGCATGTATTTGTGTAAACCAAGACTAACACAATAGAGATCACCTTCATTCCAGAAAGTTCCTTCATGTTCCTTCAGTGTGTTCTCAATTCCATCCTCCCACAGCCACCAGAGAAAACCCTTCTGAATTCTTCACCATCTGATATTACTCTTTCATGTAATTCTTTCACTCAGCATAATGATTGACCTCTGCTATTGCATACATCAGTAATTTATTGTTTTTATTGCTGATTAGTATTGAATTTTGTGAATATACTTGGGTTTGTTTATTCTCTTGTGGGTTGACACCTGGATTTTTTTTTTTCTTTAAAGATTCATTTTATTTATTTGAAAGACAGAGTTACAGAGAAAGGTAGAGACAGAGAGAGAGGTCCCCCATCCACTGGTTCACTCCCCAGATGGCCGCAATGGCCGGAGCTGCACCAATCCAAAGCCAGGAGCCAGGAGCTTCCTCCCAGTCTCCCATGCGGGTACAGGGGCCCAAGCACTTGGGCCATCTTCTGTTGCTTTCCCAGGCCCATTAGCAGGGAGCTGGATTGGAAGTGGGGGCTGACGCGGTGGTATAGCAGGTTAAGCTACTGCCTGCAGTACCGGCATCCCTTATGGGCAGATGGAAGACGTCTCTCTCTCTCTGCTTCTCTTTCTCTCTGTGTGTAACTGTGACTTTCAAATAAATAAATGAATCTTAAAGGAGGGGGGGGGAGGATAGTGGAAGTGGAGCAGCTGGGTCTTGAACTGGTGCCCATATGGGATGCCAGCACCTAGGGAGGAGGTTTAACCTGCTATGCCACAATGCCGGCCCCTATGATTGCTCTTGTATAAGTCTTTTTGGACAAAAATGTTTTCATTTCCCTTGAGTAAATACTATGAAGTAAAATTGCTGGGTCATAGGATAGTTTTATAAGAAATTGTTAGACTTCACTCGAAAGTGATTGTACCAGCTTACACTTCTACCAATGTATGAATACGGGTTGCTTTACATTCTCACCTTGAATTCTCTTCATTTTTCAAATGGTCCTTGGAATTCTCTCCATTTTTTAAAATGTTTTTTCATTCCTAACAAATTTTTAATAGAAAGCTTTTATTTAATAAATATAAATTCCGTAAGTACAACTTTTGGATTATAGCTGTTCTTCTGCCCATACTGCCCTCCTAAAAACCATCCCACCTCCTACTCCCTCTCCCATTCTTCGTTAAGATTCATTTTTAATTATATACAGAAGATCAACTCTATACTAAGTAAAGATTTTAACAGCCTAACAAAATCTATCATTTTATCCATTTTTGAGTATATAGGTCAGGGACATTAAGTATAGTTCCATTATTTTGTAACCTTCACCACCATCCATCTCTAGAACATTTTTTAAACATTTACATATTTATTTGAAAAGCATAGTGACAGACAGCAAGAGAGAGAGAAATATCTTCCATCTGCTGTTTAATTCCTCAGTGGGCTTGAACAGGCCAAAGCCAGGAGTCTGAAACTCCATCTAGGTCTCCCATATGGGTGGCAGGGGCCCAAGAATTTGGGCTATTGCTTTCCCAGTTATGTTGGCAAGGAGCTGGATCAGAAGTGGAGCAGCGGGGACCAGCACTGTGGTTTGTAGGCTAAGCCTCTGTCTGTGGCACCAGCACATATGGGTGCCGTTCATGTCCCTGCTGCTCCTCTTCCAATGTAGCTGTCTGCTAATGGCCTGAGAGAGCAGTAGAAGATGGCTCAAGTACTTGGGACTGTGATTCGGGTTACCAAGGATTTGGATTGGCTTAGCTCCAACCATTGCAGCCATTTGGAGGAGTGAACCAGTGGATGGAAGACCTTTGTCTCTGTCGCTCCCTCTCTGTAACTCTGCCTCTCAAATAAATAAAATCTTTCACAACAACAACAAAAAAGAAGTGGAACAACTGGGACTCAAACTGGCACTTACATGATGTGCTGGTATCACAAGCAGCAGCTTAGCCCACGGCACCACAGCACTGACCCCTTGAGACCATTTTCAACATCCCAATTTGAAATTCTGTACTCATTAAATAATTACTACCCATCCCCTTGGTAACCCTAGTCACTATGAATTTGGCTACTGTAGGTACCTCATAGAGTAGAATCATACAGTATTTAGTTTTTGTTTTTTTTTTTTGTCTGGCTTATTTCACTTAGTATAATGTTTTTAAGGTTCATCTGCTTTGTCACTTTTTCTTTTAAGACTGAATAATTTATGATATGTTTATGCTGCATTTGGTTTACCCATTTACCTGTCAATTTACACTTGAATTATTTCTACGTCTTGGCTGTTGTGAATAATGCTGCTATGAACATGAGGGGTCAAATACCTTTTCAAGTCCCTCTTTCATTTCTTTTGGGCACATATACAGAAGTAGAACTGCTAAATCAAATATTAATTCTATTTTTAATTTTTGAGAAACTGCCATCCTGTTTTCCATAGCAGCTGTGCTGCTTGCCATCCCCACCAGCAATACACAAGGGTTCCAGTTTCTCCATGTCCTAGCCAACGCTTGGTATTTTCTTCTGGCTTTTTTTAAAGTAGTCATCCTGATGGGTGTGAAATAGTATACCACCCCTTTTTCTCATAATCTAGTATGAATTTTGTGCCCTTATCCAAAGCATGGATAAATTTTAATCTTCATTACTGTGCCTAATATTGTTGCCTAGTTAGGAATTGATTATAGATGTCCTATCTCTTTTTTTAAAAAAAAGATTTATTTATTTTATTTGAAAGTCAGAGTTACACAGAGAGAGGAGAGGCAGAGAGAGAGAGAGCTGCGCCGATCCTAATCCAGGAGCCAGGAGCTCCTTCCAGGTCTCCCACATAGGTACAGGGGCCTAAGGACCTGGGCCATCTTCCACTGCTTTCCCAGGCCAGAGCAGAGTTGGATCAGAAGAGGAGCAGCCGAGACTAGAACTGGCACCCATAGGGATACCGGCTCCTCAGGCCAGGGCTTTAACCTGCTGTACCACAGCACCGGCCCCTATCCATATGATTCTAAAACAGACTAGGAAGAATACCCCATGAGTCTTTGTGTAGTCTCTTAATTTCTTTTAGTCTATGAATTACCATTTTTTCTGTAGAATTTAATTGCTGAATATAACCATGGACCTAGGTTTTTATTTTTTTTTTAAGTTTTTAAGCTTTTTAGTCAGTGAGAGAAATGTTCAGGAGAGTGAGGGTTTTATTTAGGGGAGAAAAAGAAGTATAGAACCTAAGTTGGGTCCATAGCAAGCAGAGAGCAGACCAGGAGCAAGCCACGTGGAGCAAGCATGCAGGTAGAAAGCAGGGAGCAGGCCTGAAGGCCACGCGCCCAAAGGCATGGGGCAACAAGGGAGACCGTGGACCTAGTTTCAAAGGGCAAGTAAAGTATTCCTGTCATGGATAGGGAAAGGAGAAGAGATCCTCACAGGAAATAAGATGATCATTTGCAAAATTTTAGGAAGTTCTGGGGCAATTATTGTGGTACTACTGGTTAAGCTGCTGCTTGCAATACTGCCATCCCATGTGGGTACCAGTTCAAGTACCAGCAGCTCCACTTCTAATCCAGCTCCTTGCTAAAACATCTGGAAAAGCAGTGGAAGACAGCCCAATTCCTTGGACCCTTGCACCTACATGGGAGATCTAGATCTCTGGCTCCTGGACTGGCCTAGCCTTGGCTCAGCCCTGGCTCAGTCCTGGCTTAATCCTGGCCATTGCTGTTTTTTGAGGAATGAATCAGCAGATAGAAGATCCCTCTTTCTCTGTAACTCTGCCTTTCTGATAAATAAATCAATTTTTTTAAAAAAACTTAGGAATACAAAAACAAATGTACTACTAGGAGAGAGCCACCCGCCTCACTTAGGTGCAGTGATGTAATATATAAGCAGGTCATGATTTGGACAGATTTTGTAAGACACAGTGAGGAACTGTGACTTATCTATTTTCAGGTCACATGGGCTCAACTAAAGATTTTCAAGCAAGCAACTAACTTGATGTTGTTTATAAAGGCTGCTGTGGTGACTGTGGGAAGATAGGGTGGGGGGATGCAGAGAAAGAAAAGGTATAACTGAAAGTAAATAGCACTTGGGTGGCCATTGCAATAGCACAGATCAGTGTTGGTAAGGGCTTAAACTGGGTGTGGCAGTAGTGATGGAAAGAAGAGGAAGTAGATTTGAGAACTTATTGATCATTTGAATATTGCATGAAGTAAGAAGAAATAGTGATGATGTTAGCATATAAGCTTATTTTTGTTTTGTTTTTTCACTTTCTGTTGTAAAATTCTGTGATCAAAAACTGCAGAAGAAAACCCTAAGAAAAGGAGCAAGTCTAGGGTAGAAGGGATATATTAGGGCCAGCTTCCATGTGTATGAAGAATCGTTTCAAATATCTGTTAAGATTATCTGAGGATGTAGATTCAACAGAATAGTGGGTGCTACAACTGCATATTTGGAAGTTACCACACCCATGGCTGTGCCCTATGCTGTGAGGATAGGCTTGTGTGTTCTTTTCTTCTCCCACTCACCCAACCATTCCTTTTTTCTTATAACCCAATATGAATTTTTTAAAGATTTATTTATTTATTTGAAAGGCAGAGTTACAGAGAGAGAGAGACAGAGAGAGATCTTCCATCCACTGGTTCCCCAAATGGCTGCAACCTTTGGGACTGGGCCAGGCTGAAGCCATGAGCCTGAAACCCCATCAGGGTCTCCTACATGGGTGCAGGTTCTCAAGGACTTGGAATGTCTTCCGCTGCTTTCCTAGGTGCATTAGCAGGGAGTTGAATCATCACCCATATGGGATGCCAGTGTTGCAGGCAGTGGCTTAACCCACTGCTCCACAATGCTACACCCTCCCCAATATGAATTTTATATGCTTATGTGGAGCATCCTCATTATTGTGCCTAATGAATGTCATTGATGACTGTGTGGGAGGGTGGCAGAGACAGAACTGGAGCAGAATAAATGATCCTTGATTTTTCATGTACTGCTGGCTGTGCTTTCGATATATGCAGTATTGTCTCCTGAATGGCAAGAAGAGACCATTCTCTTTTTTTGTTTTAAAAATTTATTTATTTATTTGAAAGGCAGACGTAAAGAAACAAGGAGAGACAGAAAGAGATTGTCCATCTGCTGGTTAACTCCCCAAATGGCTGCAGTGGCCAGGGCTGCACCAGGCCAAAGCCAAAAGCCAGGAGCTTCTTCCAGTTCTCCCCCAGGGGTATTAGGGGCTCAAACACTTGGGCGATTCTCTGCTGTTTCCCAGGCACATTAGCAAGGAGCTGGATTGGAAGTGGAGCAGTTGGGACTTGAACTCACCCACATGGGATGCCAGCATTGCAGGCTGAGGTATTACCCTCTTTACCATAGTGCTGGCCTTTTTGTTTGTTTGTTTAAGATTTATTTTATTTCAAAGGAAGAGGGAAAGAGGGAGAGACAGAGACAAAGAGACAGAAATCTTCCATCTACTGCTTCACTCCCCAAATGGCAGTAATAGCCAGGGGCTGGTCCAGACAAAAGCCAGGAGCCCCAAGCTTCATCTAAGTCTGCAACATGAGTGCAGAGGCCCAAGCACTTGGACCACCCTTTGCTGTTTTCCCAGGCACGTTATCAGGGAACTGGATTGGAGGCTGAGCAGCCGGGACTCGAACTGGTGCTCTGATACAGGATGCCAGCAGTGCAGGCAGCAGCTTAGTTCATTGTGCCACAATGCCAGCCCCGGGACCATTCTAAAGAACTTTGGTGTTTCTTGGGATTTTACCTTTATAATGGCTTAATTCAATTGTTTGATCGATAGAAATTTATAGTGTCCCTTTAACTCCTGTATTCTTTTTACCTCCTAGAGACTACAAAGCAAACTTCGAGGGATAACCCATCAAGGTAAGAGTAAGTTCTTAAGTGCAATGTACAGTTTTTGTTTTTCTTCCAAAGAATCCATGTTTTAAAAGATGCTAACAAAATGCATTTAATAAGTAATAATTCCATTAGTCCATCCACATAATTACTGTTTATCCACTTTAACATTGATTAAAATTTTAGCCAATTTTTAAAGATTTTAATCGTAAATCATATAAGCCAGTGTGGCTTTGTGATGCCAGTTGTCAACAGATTAATTATACAGGAAGCTAGTCACTGTTCATGCTGTTGATTTTCTTTATAGTTATATATTTGTACTTAATTTTGGTTATAAATCTGGCATAACTAAAAATTATTATAATTTGTGAGACAGTAGCAGCTCAGAGCTCCTTATTGGCAATAGCTAATGTTTCTTTTTCTGAATTTGATTACTCCAGGTACCTCCTTTGCAAGAAATTACAGTGTTTGTTCTTTTGTTACCAGTAGATAGAAATTTCTATCATGTTCCTTGACATTCTAAAAATAATTGTTTATTTTAAAATATTGTGGTAATAAATATAACATAAAACTTACCATTTTAACCATTTTTAAGTATACGGTTCAGTGGCACCAAGTATTTTCACATTATTATACAACTGTCACCATCTATTTCCAGATTTTTTTTGTCTCTGCAAACCAAAACTGTGTATCCATTAAGCAAAAACTTCCCATTTCCCCAGCCTCTGCCCCTGACAACCACCATTCTGCTTTGTTTCCACCATTCTTTTTCTGAATTTGATTATTCCAGGTATCTCCTTTGCAAGAAATGATAGTGTTTGTTCTTTTGTTACCGGTTTATTTCACTTAGCATAATGTCTTCACAATTCATGAATGTAAAGCATGTCAGAATTCTGAATAATACTCCACTGTGTGTATGCACTACATTCTGTTTGTTATTCATCTGTACATGGACAGTTGCTTCTGCCCTTTGGCAGTTATGAATAATGCTGCTGTGTACATGAGTGTATAACATCTTCTTGAGACCTGACTTTCAGTTCTTTTGGTTTCTATTCAGAAGCAGGATGCTGGATCCAGCAGAAATTCTGTTTTTAATTTTTTGAAGAAATGCCATGCTGTTATCGAGTGTACCATTTTACAGTCACACCAACAGTGGGCAGAATTCCAGTGTATCCACATCTGCACTGACCCTTGTTGCCTCCTGACTTTTTGAAAGTAGCCATCCTAGTGGGTGTGAGGTGGTGTCTTCTTGTATTGTTGATTCACATTCTCTGTGATCTATTCATGTGCTCTTTGGACATTTATAAATCTTCATTAGAGAAATAAATATTCAGTCCTTCATTTTTTTTTAATCAGGCTGTTTGCCTTCATGTTCTTTAACATTTTCAAAATAGCCCTCCTGAAGGTCAGGGAATCATTTGGTAGGTGATTTTTAAATTAGCCTACTTCTCTAACATAAGCAGATTTTTTTTAGATCCTTTGCTCCACATATTCCTGTAATACAGCTTTATCCTAATTCTTTGTAGATAATTTATATACATTATTTTTAAAATTATTTATTTGTTTATGTGAAAGACAGAGAAAGAGATCTCTCATCTACTGGTTCAGTTCTCCAATACCTGCGGCAGCCAGGGTAGGGCCAGCATGAAACTTGATCCAGATCTTCCATGCAGGTGGCGGGGACCCAACTATCTGAGCTGTCACTTGCTTCTCCCAGAGTGAGCATTAGCAGGAAGCTGAATCAGAAGCAGTGCTGGGACTCAAGTCCAGACTCAATATGGGATGCTGTGTCCCGAGAGGCGACTCATGTGCTGCTCCAGACACCCACCTCAGTCTGCATTTTTAAATGGTTAGGTCCTAGATAGTAGAGTCTGTGTTATGTTTTGAGCATCTGGTATTATACTAAATCTTTGTGAAACCTTGGTAAACACTAGATGGGCTTTTCCATATTGATAGCCCAACTAAGTATTTAATGATTATACTGATATATTTAATGATTATGCTGATATATGTATTTGATCAATTTGATCATATCAATTTTGTTGCATTTTATGACTTTTTAAAAAATTTACTCTTATGAGAATAATTTTTGCAGATAATGCATAAAATAATGAGGAGAAAATGAAGACTATTTCTTACAAATTACTGCAATGATTTGCAGGTGGTCTAGAAAAGCCAATTTTTAAAATTCCTATGCAGATAAATTTCCAGTAATAATCTCATGTCTGCCATCTGTTTGCAGATTCAGTTTTGACAGTATGCTTAAGAATTTTGTAGCAACTTCAAGACACTGTGCTTATACCTATGGATTTACACAGATAACTAAACCACAGAACACGGCCTAGGATAATATCTTGTGGGAATAGCTAAATTTAAGATATAGGCAGAGAAAGAGATGGCAGAGCAAGCAAGGTGAAGGCTAACCTCGACTAACTAATACACAGATGACTGAGGCGAAAGCATATTGAAATGCTAAATGTCATATGCTTTGTAGATGCTGGAATTGCAAACATTCACACAGAATGGTGTGCTTTTTAACCTACTTAGCCTTGGTATGAGGTCATATGGATGTTTATAAGATAGAAAACTAAGGCTGTACATAGGAAAAAAGATTTAGTTTTTCACAGAGCTCAGAGATTACCCATAATATATCCTTAAGTGATGTTTACCCTTTTTCTGAATCTAGATACCAAAGAGGATCCCTCCTTGAAGGATGTTGAAGATACCATGGTAGAGACAATTGCTCTTTGCCAGAGAAATTCACATAATTTGAATGAACAGCAGCGAGAGGTAGGAGAATGACTACTCAGGTGTTTAAAAGCCTGTTGTGATTTGAAACTAGAAATTAATTCTATTCCCACTGCCCTGTCAGCCACCCGCGTTTAATTCAGCAGGATTTAATCACTTTTTAGTGTTCCCAGGAGTGGAAGACTCTTGAAGTTATTACAAGGAGTGTCTGGCTGCTTTGTTCTCACACAGGCTTTCAGTTCGTAGATTGGCTGTGCTACAGGACTTCAGGCGTGTGGATGCTAGATGTTCCTGTTCTCTCTGGACTGAGAGTTTGTGTATTCCATGTGGTGGTACTAGGGATCATTATTTATCATCTCTTCTGTTCCCCGTGCATGAAAGTTAGCATGAGAAACTGGGGGAAAGCCCTGAGAATATAGAGGAAGCTGGGAAAAGGTCAAAGAAGGCCTAGGGCGTAGTGGTTCTCAGTGTCGGCTGCACGTCAGAATCGCCTGGGGAGCTTTGAAAACTCTGCTTGCTCAGGCTGCGCTCCAGCTCGGTTAAAGCCTCCGGGGCTGGGACCCAGTCATCAGTATCTCTAAAAGCTCCCCACAGATTCCAACGTGCAACCGAGGCTGGAGCCACTGCTGCAACTACTGCAGACTGTACAAAGGAGGGAAACGAAACGGAAAGAGGTATAGCTGAACACCTGGTGCAGTGGGAGTCACAGCAACACTGAAGGGGCGAGATGTCCTTTGAGAGCTGAATTCTGCAGTGGTTTGAGGAAGGTTGTATGGTGACGCATCCTCACTCCTCCATGCCTCACCCCACAGGGCACAGGCCTCTGACTTCACCCTGCTTGGCCTATTTCTGCTGCCTGGGATTTTGAAATGCAGGATGCAGTTGATTTGCCATGTATGTCTTTACCATATGTGTTACCCCATGAACATAGATCTTAGTATGTTTTCTGATCTTAAGAGATGGGTATATTATCTTTTCCGTCAGGGATTTTTCAAGGTCATAAATTATGAAGACTCTTTAGAATACAAATTACATTTTTTCTTTATTAAAAAGGCTTTTTCATGAATTGATACATACTCATCATATTAAAAAAAATGCAGTATATAAAGTTACACAGAAAGATATTGTTAAAATTATAATATATCTACCCTGCCAACCAGAAATTAATATTATCATTTAGTGAACAGAATTCTAGATGAATTTTTGTCTGTCTAGCTTGATATAATTTTAGAAAAATTGGATCAAATAATGCTTGCTTTTAAAAATATATTCAGGCGGGGCCGGTGCTGTGGTGTAGTGGGTAAGGCTGCCACCTGCAGTGCTGGCATCCCTTATGGGCACCAGTTCAAGTTCCGGCTACTCCACTTTCAATCCAGCTCTCTGCTGTGGCCTGGGAAAGCAGTGGAAGATGGCCCAACCCCTCAGGCCCCTGTACCCGCGTGGGAGACCTGGAAGAAGCTCCTGGCTCCCGGCTTTGGATCAGCTCAGCTCTGGCCGTTGTGGTCATTTGGGGAGTGAACCAGTGGATGGAAGAGCTCTTTCTATGTCTCTCTCTCTCTCTCTCTCTCTCTCTCTGCTGCTCCTTCCCTCTCTGTGTAACTCTGACTTTCAAGTAAAATAAATAAAATCTTTTAAAAATAAATGTATATATTATATATATTCAGGCTTCTTTAGGAAGCTTAAGTAAAATTGAGGAATTTCTAAATTTCAGATGAGTATTTCTAAACATATAAGGAGTCTTCAAAAAGTTTTATGGAAAATGTGTATTATAACAAGGATATGGGGCCGGCGCCATGGCTCAATAGGCTAATCCTCCACCTAGCGGCACCGGCACACCGGGTTCTAGTCCCAGTCGGGGCGCCGGATTCTGTCCCGGTCACTCCTCTTCCTGTCCAGCTCTCTGCTGTGGCCCAGGAGTGCAGTGGAGGATGGCCCAAGTCCTTGGGCCTTGCACCCGCATGGGAGACCAGGATAAGTACTTGGCTCCTGCCATCGGATCAGCGCGGTGCGCCGGCTGCAGTGCACTGGCCGCAACGGCCATTGGAAGGTGAACCAATGGAAAAGGAAGACCTTTCTCTCTGTCTCTCTCACTGTCCACTCTGCCTGTCCAAAAAAAAAAAAAAAAAAAGAAGAAGAAGAAGAAGGATATGCACAGATTTAAAAAAAATTTTTTTGAGATTTATTTTATTTATTTGAAAGGCAGAGAGAAAAAGAGGGAGATCTTCCATCTACTGGTTCACTACCCAAATGGCCAGGAGCCAGGAGTTTCACCCACATGGGTGCAGAGGCCCAAGCAGTTAGGCCATCTTCCCCTGCTTTCCCAGACATATTATTGGAGCTGCATTGGAAGTGGAGCAACCAGGCCTCAAACTGGCACCTATGTGGGATGCCAGTGCTGCAGGTGGTGGCTTAATTCCAGCCCCCAGATTTCAAAATTTCTTTCACCAAAATGAACTTATCTCTCTTTTTTTAAAGATTTATTTATTTTATTTGAAAAGCCAAGTTACAGAGAGAGAGAGAGATCTTCCATCCACTGGTTCACTCCCAAAATGGCCACAACAGCTGGAGTTGAGCAGATCCAAAGCCAGGAGCCAAGAGCTTCTTCCAGGTCTCCCACATGTGTGCAGGGGCCCAAGCACTTGGGCTATCCTCTGCTGCTTTCCCAGGCACATTAGCAGGGAGCTGGATTGGAAGTGGTGCAGCTAGAGCTGGAACCAGCATGGGTACTGGCACTGCAGGTGTACTACAGTGCCAGTCCCAAACTTATCTTTTAAAATCTATTTTCTGTGAACTTTTTGAAGAACCTTCATATTATCTTTGTAAATCTCTAAAGTTAAAGAAATGTGAATAACTATAGTAGATTGGAATTATGTTCATATGTTTATAATTAAGTTTTTATTTGTGGCATCTTTAATGCCACGCAGGTAAGAAATTGTATAAAATAACACTTGCTACCCAGCCTCCTCTCTTCTCCATCCCCTAGTTATTTTACCTTATTAAGGTTTGTGGGGAGCAGCCCGGACTGGACTGAGTTACTGGAATTAAGACTTATTCTATGCATCTGCTCTCCCACAATATGGCGCTGGGAGAGAAGTAAACAGCTTCCGCACAGCTGCCTCCAGTTCAACTAATAAACTGTAGGACTTGCTCCTGATTGGAGGAGAGCAGCGTACTCGGCGTGTGGGCAGCCGAGTTGGGATTGGCGGAGGAGGACTATAAAGGAGGAGAGAGACGGCATGCACCAGGAACATCTAAGGGGAACATCTAGCTGAAGGAACACCTGTGCAGCCCCCAGAGAGCCGGCCGGCGGTGTGCCGCTCCCCTGCGGAAGTGGGGAATGTGGCCAGGGGGAACTGCCCTTCCACGGAGGTGGAAGGGATAGTAGCCAACCCGGGAAGAACCAGCAGCAAACCCGGGGAGGGCCGAGCAGACGAAAGAACAGCGCAGGGTCCTGTGTCGTTCCTCCACGAAGAGGGGGAGCGACAAGGTTTTTTGTTGTTGTTGTTTTGTTTTTGTTTTTGTTTTTGTTTTTTTTTTGGACAGGCAGAGTTAGACAATGAAAGAGAAAGAGAGAGCGAGAAAGGTCTTCCTTCCGTTGGTTCACCCCACAAATGGCTGCTACGGCCGGCGCGCTGCGCCGATCCAAAGCCAGGAGCCAGGTACTTCTTCCTGGTCTCCCATGCGGGTGCAGGGCCCAAGCACTTGGGCCATTCTCCACTGCACTCCCGGCCACAACAGAGAGCTGGACTGGAAGAGGAGAGACCGGGACAGAATCCGGCGCCCCAACCGGGACTAGAATGCGGGGTGCTGGCGCCGCAGGCAGAAGATTAACCTAGTGAGCTGCGGTGCCAGCCCTTATTAAGGTTTTTAATACATTATTTTTCTGTGTCCATAATTCTCACAGTTGTTTACTGTTTACTCACATGGATTATGGGCTCAGTAGCAGTTTTTGCCATGATTTTCCCATTCCAAAGTTCTTATTTTTATTCCTCTTTAGGTTAGCTGGCCATATTTGGAAATTGTTTTATTTTGATAGAGAAACACAGAGGGCAGAATTATTAAAGCTATACTTACACATTTTTAACACTGAACTTTTTAAAAATATTTGGCACTTCTAAGTCCTCTCATAACTTTTTGATACTCTTCCTTAACATGGAAACTTGAAGAAAAATGTTTTATAAATACAGCAGCTTAGGTTCACATAAGGTAAAACATGTTCTGATTCACAGATATTAACAGTACAGTAAAATTCAAAATCCCTATCTCTACAACTGTAGTGTTTGAATTTGAGTTCTATTTGTATTTGAATTCTGGGTCCCTCAGTTAGAGACAGTGTTTTTGCCACATTGATGTGGCAAAAGGAGAATTTTCTTTTTGTGAATAAAACAAATGTGTCTGAATTTAATTTGTTTTGATAAAGATTCTCTAAGAGTAGTACTTCATCTAACTGCATATATTAGGGGTCTTCAGAACTTTTATGGCAAATATATGTTTTAAAAACGCTACGTGCAGATTTCTAGTTTCTTCATGCACAAAAATAAATCTATCTTTTAACTCCATTTTCCATGAGCTGTTTGAAATGCACTCATAAGAGAAGTCTACCTTTGTTGCTGACCCCAGGTTCTCTGGCTCACTTCAAATAGAAATTGACCAGAGGCTGATATGCAGCCCAGACAAGGTTAATTGGGGCTTGTGCTGGAACACAGAGGAGGCAGCATAGTGGGAAGAGGTGCTGCCGACTGGCTCTCCAGTGGGAGCTGAATGGGTGCTTTTATTGGATTGGTGAGGTGTGGTAGACCCCCTCCCCCCTCCCCCCTGCCCCCAGTCCCAGCATAGGGCACTGCCCTTCAATCTGCACCCAGCCCCAGCATAGGGCACTGCCCTTCAATCTGCACCCAGCCTGGAGTTCTGCTCCTACCCCGCAGCACATGACACTTCAGCCTGTATTCAGGTTGATGTTCTATGTAGGTATGTTGGGGTTTTTTTTACACACAACAAGCTCAAAATGGTGGTATTAACTCACTGCCATCACTCCAGGAAGGTCATATATTGGTGACATTAGGCTGTTCTAGGCTGAGTACAGGTCAGGGAAGTCCCTAGTAGGACTATAGGAGGCTGCTTGTTCCTGATTGGTTGGAACTGGGGATGGATACATAGTCAGGTTAGGGAATGATGACTGTCAGATCAGGAGGGGACTGATTGAGTCCAATTTCTATCCTGTCTTAGCTGTAAAAGAGGTCTCTTTCCCTTTCGTAAAACACACACACACACACACACACACATATCCCTCTCTTACTCCCTGCTCCCTCTAACAACTGGTTTCTTCTGCTTCAGTCTGAACAGATTAATAACAACATCAAAATATATTTGAATATTCATTGTTTTTTTAAAGATTTATTTATTTATTTGAGAGGAGGCAGAAAGAATGATAGAGGTCTTCCATCCACTGGTTCACTCCCCAGTTGGCCGCAAAGCCGGAGCTATGCCGATCTGAAGCCAGGATCCAGGAGCTTCCTACGGGTCTCCCACATGGGTGCAGGGGCCCAAGGACTTGGGCCATCTTCTACTGCTTTCTTAGGCCATAGCAGAGAGCTGATTAGAAGAGCAGCAGGGACTTGAACTGGTACCCACACTGGATGCCTGCATTGCAGGCGGTGGCTTCACTGACCCCATAGTTTTATAAATACTATTTTTGTAACAATGCTAATACAAACGTTTAAGGGATTTTAATGGTTGACTGCTTTGTTTCTCTTTGCTTTGCTTTTTGTTAGTTTTGTTTGTTTTGTACTGGAGATTCTAAAAACAAGAACTATTGCTTCAGACCCTATAATAATTAGAAAATGTAAAATATCTAAAAAACTTGATAATGAACTGTCTCTAATATCTCCCACCAAAAAGTTCCATCAGAAGATTTAACATCATGAAGTTGGGTGTCAACCTTTCCCAAATAGAATCCCTAACTACCTCTTCTACTTTGATATATATGTTTATGCTGCTGCCCCAGTGTCCAGCCTTACTGGTACCAAAGTCTGTGGCTTTGCTATGCATGTAATTCCCTGAAAAGCAAGCTATTTGTTATACATCGAGAGAAAGTAATTCGGTCCAGTTGTGTGGCTCTCTCAGGAGGTAGGATTATCTTTGTGTTCTGGATACCTATTATAGGTTGTGGGTTTTTAGAGTTATCCAAGTTAAAATGTTAAGCATCAATATTAAAGAGTGAGAGAGAGAGTAATATTTACAGAGTGTTTAGCACATATTTAGAGTTCATGTGGATATTTAATGGAAGAAGAACTCCACTGTTTGAGGATGTGAACACATCCCCTGGCTGTTACCTCCAGTCTACCATTTATAAATCAAGAATAAACTAACCTTTGAAAATATAATTCTTTTAAGTTGTGTGGGTTAAATAAGAAAATCTAAAAATCAAACTTCTAAACATAATAAATTTTAAAACCAAAAGGTAAACATTGGACATGCTATACACAATTAGAAAAATCATTAAATACACAAAAATAAATCACATAGTTCTAAAAATAAGTTAAAGGTTGGCTGGCGCCACGGCTCACTAGGCTAATCCTCCGCCTGCGGCGCCAGCACCCTGGGTTCTAGTCCCAGTTGGGGCGGCAGATTCTGTCCCGGTCTCTCCTCTTCCAGTCCAGCTCTCTGCTGTGGCCCGGGAAGGCAGTGGAGGATGGCCCAAGTGCTTGGGCCCTGCACCCTCGTGGGAGACCAGGAGGAAGCATCTGGCTCCTGGCTTCAGATCGGCGCAGCACGCTGGCCGTAGTGGCCATTTGGGGGGTGAACCAATGAAAAAGGAAGACCTTTCTCTCTCTCTCTCTCTCTCTCTCTCTCTCTCTCTGTCTAAATCTGCCTGCCAAAAAAAAAAAAAAAAAGTTAAAGGTAACTTACATGAAGCTAGCTAAGAATAAAACACAATAAAATAACATTCAAAGTTCATGAATATTGGATAAAATAAAATTTCAATAACATAAAGAATCACCAGTGTAAAAGAGTTAACAAGTTGTTCAAGAAGTTTAAGAAGATATGCAGAAAGTTGTCATAAAATCCTGCCTTTACCTTGAAAGGGGGCAGATAACAGTTGCTTGGTAGAGCTCCTAAGCGGACAGTCACCGGTGGAGAAGCCTGCTGGACTCAGCCTGTCCCCTTGCCTTAAGGCACTCCCGCCTTCATTGTCAGGCCGATTGCAGGTGGTGGGGACAGAAGGTGCACTCTTCTGTCAACAACCGCTCTCATCCTGCTCAGTTAGTGCTGACTTCTCTGCATGCTCTCTGGATATTCACAGCAATAGGATCCTTCTAAAACACTAATTTAAGGCATTTGTAAATCATTATTTTAAAAGAGACATGTTTCTAATGTTGATTTTTATAATAAGACTGTTTCCTTTAACTTAGGAAGAGTACCAAATCCAGAATCCAGTTAACAAATTTATTGCAGTGTAATCTTTGGTAAATTACATAATTTCTCTAAGCCTCAATTTCTTAAGTGAAGATAATTCCTACCCTATAAGGTTATTATGAGATTTAAATGAAAAAGTATATGTACAACATTTAATAGAGTACCTTGTGGGGAGCAACTCGGACTAGACTGTTACTGGAATTAAGACTTATTCTATGCATCTGCTCTCCCACAATATGGCGCTGGGAGAGGAGGAAACAGCTTCTACACAGCTGCCTCCAGTTCAACCAATAAACTGTAGGACCTGCTCCTGATTGGAGGAGAGCAGCATACTCGGCGTGTGGGTAGCAGAGTTGGGATTGGTGGAAGAGGACTATAAAGGAGGAGAGAGACAACATGCACCAGGAACATCTATCTGAAGGAACACCTGAGCAGCCCCCGAGAGAGCCGGCCGGCGGTGTGCCGCTCCCCCGGGAAAGTGGCAGGGGGAACCGCCCTTCCACGGAGGTGGAAGGGACGGTAGCCAACCTGGGAAGAACCAGCAGCAAACCTGGGAAGGGCCGAGCAGACAAAAGAACAGCGCAGGGTCCTGTGTTGTTCCTCCACGAAGAGGGGGAGCGACAGTACCTAGCATGATAAGGGATAAATAAATGATAGATCTATTTCTTTATCTCTTGGCATGGTTGGTAATGTTCATTACAATAACATTAATGTCCACTCTGCAATCTGATGACTGGTAAATATAAAATAATGCCTGAGGGGCCTGATTTGTGTCATAGTGGGTCAAGCCATTGCCTACAATGCTGGCATTCCATATGAGTGCTGGTTCAAGTCCTGGCAGCCCGGCTGCTTCACTTCTGATCTAGCTCCCTACCAGTGCACCTGGAAAAGCAGCGGAACATGGCCCAAGTATTTGGGTCCCTACACCCATATGGGAGACCCAGATAAGAGTTCCTGGCTTCAGACTGGCCCAGCCCCAGCCATTGTGTCCATATAGGGAATGAACCAATGGATAGAAGACCTCTCTCTGTCTCTGTCGCTCTCTGTAACTCTGACTTTCAAATAAACTATTAAAAAAAAAACTTGATATATTAAAAACTTTGTATTACCTTTATTTGTTTTTTTTGACTGATGTAGCAAAAGAAAGAAACAGGAGGACAGCCGTGGGAGTTGCTTATTGCTTATTGCTTTCTGCTGAGTCCGTAGGGTCCTTCAGACTGTGTCAGTGATACATTTATACCAGAGTAGATGAGAACCTCACAGGAAGCTCCTGCCTGGCTTCTCTGTTCTCCAGGGCACAGGAGGTTGCAGTTCCAAGGCCTCCAGTTACTTCCTTTCAGCGTGGTTCTGTTTCCCAAGGCCGCAGGGTAAAGATATTTGTTCTAGCTGTGGTCCCTGTTTTTTGTTGTCTTTTCTCTGGTCCCTGTTTTTTGTTGTCTTTTCTCCTCCCAATCAAATGTTCCCTTTTTTCTTTTTGTACAGAAGTACACTTCATTCTCTACAACACTGTGCTGATGGCAGTTTGTTTTTTGTTTTGTGCTCTTTGTTTAAGATTTATTTATTTATCTGAAAGGCAGAGTGACAGAGAGAGAAAGGAACAGGGATATATCTTCCATCCTTAGTTCACTCCCCAAGTGGTTGCAGTGGAGTCCGCCGGACTGAAGCCAGAAGCCAGGAACTCTGTCCATCTTTCTTCCTTCCAAATACTTGGGCCATATGCTGCAGCTCTCTGAGGCACATGAGCAGGGAGCTGGATCAGAAGTGAAGTGGATAAGACTCAAACCAGCACTTGGATGTGGAATGCCAACATCACAAGCAGCAGCTTAACCCGCTGTACCACAGCGCAGTCCCTTGATGCTGTTTATTCTTAACAATAACACAGTGTTTGCTTTCCTCTGACATTACAGGCTTTGTGGTTCCCATTACTGGAGGCAATGATGGCCCCTCAGAAGCTGTCCAGTCCTGCTGCACCTCACCTGCAGGCTGAGGGTAAGGTCATCAGAACCTAAGCAACAGGACCGCCTGTGTCTTCACTGCCGTTTTTATTTACAGAAGCCTTCACTAAGATACTTTCCACAGTCACGTCTGTACTGTTTTCATAATGAAACCACAGTGACGTGATGGCGTTGTCATTCAGGTGTGAGTCGTTCTGCCATACCACTAAAAATGCTGAATCTTGAATAATAGTAGTCATTGCAGCTTGCAACAGTTATTGTAAGGTATCAAACTAGCCTTGGTTACCTAAGTTTTCCAGAAACTATATAAAACCACTCCTTTTCCCTGACTTACAAGAAAAAGTGAAAAGTCCTATTTTAAAGTAAATTTATTTTTAAATTTTTTGTATTCTTCATTTTTAACAGGTTCAATAGTTCATAGATACAGTTCTGAGAATATAATGATATTCCCTTTTTCCTTCCCTTCCTCCATTCTCCTCCCTCCTACCCTCTCTCCCTCTTTACTTTCCCCTTCTTTCCTTCATGGTTTTGTTTGTTTTTAAGTTATTTTGTTTAAAATTCATGCATTTCATAAATACAAATTTAGGAACATAGTGATTCTTCTCACCCTATCCTCCCTCACACCTGCACTCCCCCTCTTCTTCCACCCTCTCTTATTCTCCTTCACCTTTTTTTTTTTTTTAAGATTTATTTATTTATTTGAAAGAGATACACAGAGAGAAGGAGAGGCAGAAAGAGAGAGAGAGGTCTTCCATCCACTGGTTCACTCTCCAGCTGCCTGCAATGGCAGGAGCTGTGCTGATCTGAAGCCAGGAGCCAGGAGCATCTTCCAGGTCTCCCACGTGGGTGCAGGGGTCCAAGGACTTGGGCCATCTTCTACTGCTTTCCCAGGCCACAGCAGAGAGCTGGATCAGAAGTGGAGCAACCCAGATTTGAACCGGTGCCCATATGTAATGCTGGCATTGCAGGTGGTAACTTTACCCACTATGCCACAGTGCTGGCCCCTCCCCTTCACTGTTGAGATAATATATCTTTAATTTACATTGCAGTCAAGGGCTTAATGCTCCAGTAAATAAAGTGTTCAATAAGTAAAAAACACAAAGACTCTAGTTTAGTGGAAATGTAAGCAATGGCTGTAAACAGTAATGAAATAGAGAAATGGCTATTTCACCTATATACAGTAAATTTCAAAGTCATCACAAATCATTAAACCTAAATGCTTAGTGAAACAAGCCAGTCCCAAAAAGACATATATCATACGTTTTCCCTGATCTATGGTAACCAATACAGTACAAAAAAAGTAATCCATATGAGCAAAATTGACATTTTGAGGTTTGATAATTGTTTACAGCTTTTGTCTCTACTGTTGAGGAATAGTGTTTTTCTTCTTACTATTTGTTGAATTCTTTACTTAGTGGAGGGTTAAGCTTATGATTATAAAATAATGCCATCTCACTACTCCAAGTGATCAATTTCAGTTCACAATTGATCATAATGAAAGGAGTAAGAGTCAAAGGGAGCACATAAACAAGTCTAGTATCTGCTAACACCAACCGATAGAATAAATAAAGGGGAGAGTGATCCAACATGGGAAGTGAGATACTCAGCAGACTCATAGAATGGCGGATGTCCTAAACAGCACTCTGGCCTCAGAATCAGCCCTAAAGGCACTCGGATCTGGCTGAAAAGCCCATGAGAGTATTTCAGGCATGGAAAGCCAAGACACTCTGGCAAAAAGATCTCTGTGAGTGAGATCCCAGTGGAAAGAACAGGTCTTCAAAGAGGGAGGTGCCTTTCTCTGAAGGGAGGAGAGAACCTCCACTTTGACTATGACCGTGTCTAAACAAGATAAGAGTCGGAGAACTCAAGGGGCTTCCATAGCCTTGGGAACTCATAACTGGAGCAGAGGAGATTACTGATGCCATAGACAGGAGTGTCAATTGGTAAAGTCAACAACAGGAGTCACTGTGCACTTACTCCTCATGTAGGATCTCTGTCCTTAACGTGCTGTACACTGAAGCTTAATGCTATAACGAGTACTCAAACAGTATATTTTCACTTTGGTGTTTCTATGGGGGGTGCAAACGATTGAAATCTTTACTTAATGTACACTAAACTGATCTTCTGTTTAAAAAAAAAAAAAAAAAAAGAAAGAAATTATCAATTCCCAACTTGACTCTCACTGGGATTAAACATGACAATAGGTCTGATCTGATTTCATCATCATTTAAAAAAAATCATCTATTATTTTTCACTTTATGTTTTTGTGTGGGAGCAAACTGTTGAAATACTTACTTAAGGTATACTAAGCTGATCTTCTGTATATTAAGATAATCGAAAATGAATCTTGATGTGAATGGAAGGGGAGAGGGAGTGGGAAAGGGGAGGGTTGTGGGTGGCAGGGACGGTATGGGGGGGGAAGCCATTGTAACACATGAGTCGTACTTTGGAAATTTATATTCATTAAATAAAAGATTAAAAAAAATAAAATAAAATAAAATAAACTGAAAGTATGTCACTGTAAAAATAGAAGAAAAAATACAAAAGGAAGGAGAAGAGTGAGAGGGAGGGTAGAATGGGAAGTATCACTATGCTCCTAAATCTTTACACAGGAAATACATGAAACTTGTTCACCTTATATAAAAAAAAAAAAAAAAAAACTTAAAAATAAATAAAAAGAATATGGAAAAACACTAACAGTATAATATTCTTAACCATTAGTTTGACAAAGGTATGAAATAAAGTTAGACAAAACTCAGGGGATTCCAATTCAAACCCATCGAGGTGGCATGTACCAATGCCATCTCACTAGTCCAAGTGATCAGCTTCAGTTCATAATTGATCATAATGATAGGATTAAGAGTCAAAGGGATCACATAAACAAGACTAGTGTCTGCTAATACTAACTGATATAATTAAAAAGGAGAGAATGATCCAACATAGGAAGCAGGATACACAGCAGTCTCATAGAATGGCAGATGTCCTAAACAGCACTCTGGCCTCAGAATCAACCCTTAAGGCATTCAGGTCTGACTAAAAAGCCCATGAGAGTATTTCAGGCATGGAAAGCCAAGACACTCTGGAAAAAAAATAAATAAATAAATAAAATCTACTGTAAATGAAAGATCTCTGGGAGTGAATCCCAGCGGAAAGAACGAGCCATCAAAGAAGGAGGTACCTTTCTCTGAAGGGAGGAGAGAATTTCCACTTTGACTATGGCCTTGTCTAAATATGATCAGAGTTGGCGAACAAAAGAGGCTTCCATAGCCTTAGCAACTCATGACAAGAGCCTCGGGTGATTACTGACGCCATAAACAAGTGTCAATTGTTAAATCAACAACAGGAGTCACTATGCACCTACTCCCCATGTAGGATCTCTGTCCTTAATGTGTTGTACTATGTCAATTAACAGTATAACTAGTACTCAAACAAACTTTGTGTTTCTGTGTGGGTGTAAACTGTTGAAGTCTTTACTTAGTAAATACTAAATTGATCTTCTGTATATAAGGATAATTGAAAATGAATCTTGTTGTGAATGGGATGGGAGAGGGAGTGGGAGATGGGAGGGTTGCGGGTAAGAGGGAGGTTATGTTCATTTCACTTTAACAGGTTTCCTTTTTGGTGCTCAGTTAGTTGTCACCTATCAAGGAGAACAAGTGGTATTTGTCCCTTTGGGATTGGCTTATTTCACTCAACATAATGTTTTCCAAATTCCTAACAGGGATCACTTTTCAGTTAAAATTTAAACACCTAAGAATAATTGTGTGTTAATTATAGAGTTCAACCAATGGTACTAGAACAAAAAAAAAAAATACCAAAATGGATAAAGTATTACATTGTACATCAACCGCCAGGACAAGAGCTGATCAAGTCACTGTTTCTCATAGTGTCCATTTCACTTCAACAAGTTTCCCCTTTGCTGCTCAGTTAGTTGTCAAAAAGGAAACCTGTTAAAGTGAAATGAACACTATGAGAAACAGTGACTTGATCAGCCCTCACCCTGACTGTTGATGAGCAGCTTAATATGTTATCCCTCTTAGTATTTTTTTTTGTTTGTTCTACTTAATACTTTTGGTTGAATACTGTAATCAATACACAATTCTTCTTAAGTGCTGAAACTTAACTGAAAAGTGATCGCTGTTAAATATGAGTGGGAATAAGAGAGGGAAGAGATGTGCAATTCGGGACATGCTCAAGCTGACTTACCCCAAACAGTAGAGTTAGAAACATACCAGGGGATTCGAATTCAATCCCATCGAGATGGCGTGTACCAATGCCATCTCACTAGTCCCAGTGATCAATTTCTGTTCACAATTGATCGTAATGATAGGACTAAGAACCAAAGGGATCACATAAACAGAATAGTGTCTGCAAATACTAGCTGATAGAATCAAAAAGGGAGAGAATGATCCAACATGGGAAGTGAGATACACAGCAGACCCATAGAATAGCAGATGTCCTAAACAGCACTCTGGCCTCATAATCATCCCTTAAGGCATGCAGATCTGGCTGAAATGCCCATGAGAGTATTTCAGGCATGGAAAGCCAAGACACTCTGGGGGAAAAAAAAAACCTAAATGAAAGATCTCCGTGAGTGAGATCCCAGTGCAAAGAATGGGTCATCAAAGAAGGAGGTACCTTTCTTTGAAGGGAGGAGGGAACTTCCACTTTGACCATGGCCTTGTCTAAAAATGATCAGAGTCGGTGAACTCAGGGGGCTTCCATAGCCTTGGCAGCTCATGACAAGAGCCTAGGGTGATTACTGAGGCCATAAACAAGAGTGTCAATTTGTTAAGTCAACAACAGGAGTCACTGTGCACTTACTCCTCATGTAGGATCTTTGTCCTTAGTGTGCTGTACATTGAGATTTCATGCTATAACTAGTACTCAAACAGTATTTTTCACTTTATGTTTCTGTGTGGGAGCAAACTGTTGAAATCTTTACTTAATGTACGCTAAACTGATCTTCTGTATATAAAGAGAATCGAAAATGAATCTTGATGTGAATGGAAGGGGAGAGGGAGTGGATAAGGGGAGGGTTGCGGGTTGGAGGGACGTTATGGGGGGGAAGCCATTGTAATCAGTATTCTGTACTCTGGAAATTTATATTCATTAAATAAAAGTTAAAAAAAAGAAGGAAAAAAAAGGAAGAGGAAACATTCTGAGAAGATGATGCACAGTTTTATTTTTTTTTTTCTTTCTTTCTTTTCTTTCTTTTTTTTTTTTTGTAAATTGTAGCTCCCACATGTAAGAGAGAACACACACTATTTGTCTTTCTGTGTTCAGCTTATTTCACTCAACACAATGTCCTCCAGTTTGCTGCAAATGGTAGAATCTCATTCTTTCTTATAGCTTAATAATATTCCATTGTATATATATGCTACATTTTCTTTATCCATTCCTCTCATGAGAAACACTTTGGTCAATTCCGTATTTTGGCTATTGTGAACAGTGTTGCTATAAGCATGGTGGTGCAGGTATCTCTTTGATCCAAAGTGTTCCTGTCTTTTGGGTATATACCCAAAAGTGGGATTGCTGGATCATATGGCAAGTCTATTTGTGGTTTTTTAAGAAATCTCCGTACTGTTTTAAACTAACCTTATTATCAACATTTTGTTCTGACAGCGCTGAAATCTTTGACCATGCAAGTCCTAAACAGCATGGCAGCTTTTATTGCCCTTCCATCCATCCTGCAAAGAATCTTACAGGTGAGTTCAAGGAGGGAAACTATATGTTGACGGATTTGAACTAATACTTTAGTTATGTGTAAATAGCAAATTGAGCTGGTGTTTAAATGAGTCTCAAGCATAATGCAGTTAATTTTTGGCATTAGCTAAATAATTAACTCAGGATCCTCCTCTTTGAATCTTTTCTGTCACTCCTTGGTATGAGTTTGCCTGATTTAATTGGGTAGTCACTGTCATCTCGGGATTGAGATACACAGGCTTCCTATTGGTGTGCCAACTGGGAAAGAATTAGCACTCATTTCCAGTGGATTATACTTTTTAAATCAAAAGTAGAACCTAAAAATTTATCTAATGAAAGCACTTCTTAATTAGTTGTTACTTGGTTTTCTAACTCATCCTAAAACCATTTCTGTGTTCAAGATTCATCCCTAGCTCTAAATTCTAACTGGCTTTGTGTCAACAGCCTTGTTAGGAAATGTCATTCCAACAGGTTTTTTTTTAACAAAATGGCCTGAATCTTCTAACTTCATCAAAAAGAAAACACTAGAAATAATGTAAGATGTATATTTAGAAAAACCTGTGAGCATGCTTGGGGAACAGCAGGTTCTAAGGATCCATTTTCTCTTCCCTCATTTTATGCAGTGTGGACACACACACACACACACACACAATCAAGTAGCAATATGATGCTGTTGGTTTTTTTAAGTTTAAAATTATTTTCGTCTGATCAGCAGTGTCTATAAAAGCTCCCTTTCAAGGCCTGCCAAGCTCTCTCATCTGGTTTGAAGCTCCTGGGCCATTACTGATAAAGACAACCACATCTAGTAGTCTCTGTCATCACACTGCACGCTGTCATTGAAGGATGTATTTTTAAACTTGTTATCTCATTTGATGCTTAGTGACTATCGCATGCTCAGTAATTCTTTGACTTAGGCTACTTCTAGCCATCTTAAAATACTTGAATCATATTTTTAATCATATGTAAAGTAATATCTCCATAAGTCAGGAATACTTTACCAATTAAATTAGAAAAAAATTAAATCCGAAAGTCAAAAGTGAGTTCTCTCTCTTTCTTTTTCATCTTTATTTAATTGAAAGACAGAATTACAGACAGAGGGAGGGAAGGACAGAGAGAAAGGTCTTCTGCCTGCTGGTTCATTTGACCAGAGCTGCGCCAATCTGAAGCCAGGAGCCAGGAGCTTCTTCCAGGTCTCTCACGTGGGTGTAGGGGCCCAAGCACTTGGGCCATCTTCCAGTACTTTCCCAGGCCATAAGCAGAAAGCTAGATCAAAAGAGGAGTAGCCAGGACATGAACCGGTGCGTAAACAGGATTCCAGCACCACAGGCAGAAGCTTAGCCTACCACGCCACAGTGCTGGTCCGTGAGTTCTCTCTTTATATTGAATTTTAACTACACATTGTGACACATAAATTTTAACAAAAACCTGTCTCTCAGTTCATAAAAAGCATATGAATTTTTAAATTTGTGTTTCAACATGTGGTATATCTTAAAAATCATTAGAAATGGACTATTGATATGCACTGGGCCTTAGCTCAGTCTGCTGTAACAGATTGCCTTTTGCTGAATAGCTTAAGCAACAGACATTTATTTCTCGCCGTTCTGAAATAGGGTGCGATGTGGTTGGGTCTTGGTGGAGGCCCTCTTTCTGATTTACAAAGGGCTGCCTTCTCACTCTCCTGTATGAGGGTGGGAGGGGGGTGGGGGGGGCAGGCTGTCTCCTCTTGTTTTCTTATAAGGTTACTGATCCCACCAAGAGGGCTCCACCCGCCTGACCTCAGTACCTGCCAAAGGCCCCATCTGCAAGCGACATGCTAGTGTCGATGAAGGCTTCAGCATACAGATTTGAGGAGGGGGGACAGAAACATTAAATCCATAGCACGATACAGCATGGGTGATCTCTAACCTACAGCACTGAATGAAAGAAGCCAGAGAATGTCCCATCTATCGGATACTCTAGAAAACACAAAGCAGTCTGTAAAGATCGAAAGAGTAGTGACTGAGGATGCAGGTTCAGGGTCGGGGCGAGGGGTGATCTTTCCAGGACAGGACATTTCAGTGGATGATGGATATATTTGTTATCTTTAGTGTGGCACTGGTTTTACAAGCGTATACATATGTCAGAACATACCAAATTATATGTCAATAAGACCTTTATAAAGCTTTTGTTTTTAAATCAGTTATCAAATTATAGTAAATAAGTTCTCTGCCTCCCAACCCTCACACAAGGCCCAATCATGTGACTATTAACTCTTTTACTCCTGCCTTCATATTGGCGTACCCTCTGGGCTGTGAGTTTCATAAAAGTAGATAGCATGACTGTCTCATTCACTGTTTTATCTCCAAAACCTACTGCAATGCCTAGCACATAGTATTTGCTCAGTGAATATTAATTGAGTCAATCATCTAATGTCCTAGAGTGGTTTTCAACAATTTATAAAGAACTTTGTGTTCATTCTCTCTCTTTTTTTTTTTTTTTTTTTTTGAGTTCTGTGCACATGGAGCTGGGGAAGTAGTAGTATCCTCATGCTTCTCATGAGGAAAATGCCACCTGACTGAATAGCTTGCCTTGGTCATTAAATGGCAGCAGCCAGCCTACTAACCCAGGTCTTCTAACTTCACGTTTTAGGTCTTTTCTTCCGTACCTGACACTAGTCAAGGTATTTTATCATATCCGTATCCCTTTATTAAGTCCCCTGGGAAAAGATGGGAAGTAACAGTTAAGATGCACAGTTGGGAGGCTGGTGTGGCACAGCAGGTGAAACCACCACCTGCAACGCCAGCATCCCACATGGGTGCCCTTTCAAGTCCTGGCTGTTCTGCTTCCCATCCAGCTCCCTGCTAATGGCCTGGGGAAAGCAGCAGAAGATGGCCAAGTGCTGGGGCCCCCACACCCACATGGGATGCCAGAAGAAGCTCCTGGCTTCAGGCTGGCCTAGCCCTGACCATTGCAGCCCTCTGGAGAATGACCAGTGGGTAGAAGATCTTTCTGCCTCTCTTTAATTCTGTCTTTCAAATAAAGAAATGAATATTTAAAAAAAAAAAAAAGCACCACTGCTCAGTTCCACTGAAAAATGCTGGTTTTTCCAAAAGGCAATGTTCACATAACAAGCCGTTCTGAAAGATCTTCTTGACCTCTGCATGTTTATTTAGCCTGATGCCTGGACGTGGATTGCTTTAATGAACACTGGGTGATAAGTAAGAGAGTGCTCTTAAGGGGACCTATTTATGTTATAGACATTCTGTCTTCACTCTGGCAAAAGTGATTCTTGGCTTTGGAGAAGCTATTTATGATTTTGTTACTGAGGGAATTAAAGCATACAAATGCTTTATGCACTCTGCTGTTTAGGGCATCATTCATATTTTAAAGAAATGTTCAATTAGTAAACATTTTGATTTTAAAACAAAACACAGGCATGATACAATAGATATTACAAAGCAATAGGAAAACATTTGAAAAAACAAATTTTTGTAGGGTACTCAAGTACCTTCTTTCAGTTTACAAACAAGTTAAAGAGAAAGCTCAGCAGTTATTCATTGCTGCAGAATCTAGCTGACATCTTTGGAAAATAAATGTGAAGAGCCAGTGGATTGTGTACCTGCTGTGCCAGAAGCCTTGAGCTTCCTTTTGCATTCTATAATTTATTTGTTATCCCAGTAGGAGGTGGTTTTCATGATTTTGCTTTTAAATTATGTATATTAAAGTGAAATGTACTGATGTAAATATAGAAATGACCTATAAGGCTGTCTTATTTTTGCCAGAATTTAACCTTTAAAGATTTCTTATTCTCCAAACCACCCTTGTCATAAACAGATGCCAGAGCTATATTAGCATATTGATGCACATATTATAGTAGATCTTATAATAGATTTCTTATAATAGGATACTGTACTATCTGTTGACACTTTACAGAGTAATAAATGTGCTTATTAAGAACTAAACTGAAAGCATAATTAAGTGAAGATGAGAAGCATTAACATGGATCTGTTTTTATGAAAAGAAATAAAGATAAAAATTATCCGTGTATGTATAGCCTGCATTGTTTCTCTAGTTAAAGGACTAGTCTGAGATTTAAAAAAAAAAAAAAAAGTCATAGCTGTTGAAAGTGGCCTATACATGTTTGACAGGTATCTTTACCTTAGTAATATCGTCTCCAGCCATGAAACAGGAATGTTTTCTGTGAAGCTCAAGTCACCTGTTCCAGCCCAAACTTGTAGGTGTGTTAATTAGCCACAGATTCAGAGTTCTTGTGGACCTAGACTCTCTTCAGCCTTAACTCAGCAGCTAAAAGGACCAGAGGAGCAGATGGTAGCAAGTTCCAGGTGTTCTAGATTGACCTAGAGTGCTGAAAACCTAGTCGTTAGAAACTGCATGGCCCAGCCTGCCAGAACCATCATCGGAAAAGAAAAGAAAAATAAGCCCATCCTGAGACTGTTTGCATGGTCTTTCTGCTTATTTACCCTTTTCTCTTTCTTCTGAACCTATAGTTATTCTTCTAACACTAAGGTTTTAATACCCTAAATCCTCCCTAAGAAGTAGCCAGATATGTTACCTATGTTACCCAACTGTCATTAATTTATCACATAGTTACCTGTATTTTTCTAGGAAAAAATCAGTTCACATAACTATACTTGGGAGACAAAGTGTGCTCATTAAAAAAAAAAAAAAAAACACGGTTCTAGGGGCCAGCATTGTAGTACAGCAGGTTAAGCTGCAGCCTGCAATGCCAGCCTCCCAACTGGGTGCTGGTCTGAGTCCCAGCTGCTCCACTTCTGATCCAGCTGCCTGCTAATGTGCCTGGGAAAGTAGTGGGAGATGGCCCCTCTCTCTGTACTCTGCCTTTCAAATAAATAAATAAACCTTAAAAAATGAAAAAAAAAAAAAAAAAACACCACGGTTCTTCAGTGCCGTTATTCAAACCTTAGCTCGTCTGCTTAATAGTTTTGTGTCTTAGAGGAGCCTCAGTGTCTTCATTCACAGACGTTGAAGGAATTTAGTGATGTGATTATATGGTTATTCCATGACCTCCCCTGGGAAATGATTCCAGCACCCCTACAGACACCAAAATCCACAGATGCTTAGGTCCCTTATGTAGAATGTCATGTTAAAAGCATGTAACTTACACACATGCTCCTGTATACTTTTAGGGGTGGGGAACATCTGGCATGTCCACAAAATCATTTGGTCTGGCCCTGCCAAGACAACCACAAATGGTAATCAGAATCCAGTAAATCTATAGCAGACTTATTTTTTAAGTTGATAATTTTGTATGGCCTGTGAATAATGTTATAAATCTCCAAATGGCCCTTGGCAGAAAAAAGATTCCCCACTCCTTCTTTAAATCATCTCTAGATTACTTTATAATACTTCATAAAATATGAATGCTATGAAAATATTTGTTACATTGTGTTGTTCAGAGAATTAATGACAAAGGGAAAAGTCTACACAGGTTCAGCACAAACGTAAGTTTTCCCTCAGATCTTTTGGATCTTCAGATGAATCCAGGGTTCTGGAACCTGCAGATCGGGAATCCACGCATGCAGAGAGCTGAGTGTATAAAGTGCTCACTGTGCTTAGCATTGCCACCCACTCAGTAAATAACAGTGACTTTATCATCATTGCATAATTGGGTTCTCCTGTTTGGCGTGAGAGTTATTTGTGCCACATATAGCCTCACATTAGAGTAAAGTGGTAGATGTGATATGCTCACTTATTAGCAATTTTTAAAATTACAATTATCATTTAACAAAGGTGCGGTAAAATGGGCATGCAAATGTGCTGGTGGAAGTAAAAATTGCACAGTAAGCTTTTTGGTAGAGTAATTTGCCAATATATATTGATGCCATTAAAAAGCTCCTTGACCCTATAATTTATTTTCTAGAAATCTGCTCTTAAAAAAAAAGGATCAGAGATTCAGAACAAGATTTGAAGCCACTAGGCATTTCATAATGGTGGGTGGAGTTTACAGAAGGGGAGAGTTTTAAATGCCCAACATCAGAGAATGATTAATAAACCATGGTATTTTCACAAGATTCATATTCTGCAAGTATTAAAAAATACTTGATTGATATGGGAATATCTCACAATATACCATTAAGTTAAAAAAGATAAACATACTATATGAAATACCCAAATTTTGTGCGTTAAGACGTACATCACTCCACCTTTTCCTTTCTCTCTTTCTCTGGAAACAATATTGGAGGACTGTACATCAAAATGCCCACAGCATTCATGTCTAGGTGGTTGGATTTCAATTTTTGGTGTTTTTAGGGACACAGGTCAGTGTTTTCCAAATTGTACATAATCAAGTTAGTTGGCATGCCCCATGAAAAGCAGCATCAAGGTATCTGTTGTGTATCAGTAGTGAATTTATTGGGGGAAAACTTAAAATACCATGAGTTATGGTGTATGTAGTTAGCCTCTTGGTCTAGATGATTACCTCCTTGGGGACGGCATTGTAGTGCAGAGTGTTAAGCCACCACCCGTGATGCCTATGTCCCATATGGGTACCAGGCCAAATCCAGCTGTTCCACTTCCAATCCAGCTTTCTGATAATGTACCTGGGAAAGCAGTAGAAGACTAGGGTCCCTGTCATCCCATGTGGAAGACCTGGATGGAATTCCTGTGTCCAGACGTTGGCCTGACCCAGTCACAGCCACTGGGAGTAAAACAGCATATGGAAGATATCTGTATCTTTCCCTCTCTCATTTTCACTCTCTCTCTCTCCTGCTCTCCCTTTCTCTCTGTTTCTTCCTCTCTCTTTCAAAACTCTGCCTTCAATTAAATAAATGCATCTTTAAAAAAAAAAAGATGCCCACCTCCCATACTGTAGTGCCTCGATTCAGTTCCCAGCTCCAGCTCCAGTACCTGCCTTCAGCTTCCTGCTAATGAAGACTCTAGGAGGAAGCAGGGACTGCTCAATTACTTGGTTTCCTGCCACCTTCGTGTGATACCTGGACTGCATTCATGGCTCAGCCTGACCCAGCCCTGACCATTGCAAGCTTTAGGGGGTGAACCAGTGAATGAGAACTCTGTGTCTGTCTCTGTATTTCTGCGCCTCTCAAATAAATTATTAAAAGTAATAATAAAATAAAATACTAAGAATCATAACAATTAAAATTTTTACAATTTTTTTCTAATTAGGATCCAGTTTATGGAAAAGGAAAACTTGGAGAAATCCAGGGACTTATTCTGGGGATGTTAGATACTTTTAACTATGAACAGGTAAGTAAGCTACTTGCTATGTCTGTCCTAGGGTAGAAAAAAGCAAATTTTTTTTGCATCTGTATTTTTTTTCCTTAAAAGTGACTGTATATTTACTATAAGTTAGGTAGGTTGAGGTATATGTGCAGTTTTTTTCTATTTTTAAATTTCTTTTGGCTTTAATTTGCATAAATGTGCGCGCACACACACACACACACACGTATATATTCCAGAATGTGGAAATGCACCTAAATCAGACTCATATTATTTTTGTAATTGATTGGTAGTTAGACAAATATCTTTTTTTCAAATTGAATGTAAGAAAGACTTTCTGGGAAAAAAATAGTATACAAAGTTGTAACCCATGAAAAGTGAGGGTCAGCATGAAAATAAAAGGTGCAAAATAAAAGTAAATGAATGTTTTAAGCATTCTGAAGCAGATTGTTGCTAATGACCCAACGTAATCATTAGTCTTCCTTTAACTCAGAATTGTCTATAGCTTTCATTCTCTGTGTGAGCTACCTTGCTGTAAAAAATTTATTTCTTGGTAAACCTCGACATAACTCACGAAGCCACCTAGGAAAAATGCCACTCAGGCATGTTAGATACAATGTCTGTGTTTTTAAGAATCTGAGAGAAGAAAAAGAAAAATTGGAGTAGCCCAAAGCTTTTTCAAGAGTGTTATAAGAATTGCTGTTTTGCTAAGCACAGCCCAGTGAAGCTTGATAGTGCTGTAGGCACAGATGCCAGGTTAGTAGAAGGAAAGTAGAGTGTAAGACAGAAAATGTTGCCCAACTTCTCAACTACCGAAGAAGAGAAAAAAACGGCATGGGTCGGAAAAAAACAGTCAGACAATCAGAACTAAAAGGTCTGCGTGACAGATGCAGTTAGGGCCAAGCTACATAATATAGCAAGGAGGGTGGGCAGTACCAAGCTCAGTCTTTCCCTTTGGAACTGACGGAAAAGAACACAACTGCATATCCAAATAATATATATGAATGTGAGCCTTAATGTGGTAGCTATGAAAATGTCTTTATGTGACTTAATGACAGATGTCACAGCCTTGAGTAGATTCAAATGGCTTATAATTGCCCATCAGGAAAATGTGATCTCCCTGCCCTAGGGAGACGAGCACTGAGTAATGGCTATTAGCTTTGCCAGTGAAAGGTTATTTGAAACATTGCCATGAGTGTGGTTTCAATAAAAAATCAGGAATCCAGACTTAGCTATGTTCTTTGTTACAACACTCTGAGTCATTCAGAGAGAAGTTACTATATAAGTGTAATAAATAGACTTGGACTTATCTAGTCGTTTGAAAGCCATCAACAGTCAATTAAGCCACAGAATGGCAGAGCATACATTTCTCAGTAGAAATTAGTGGCAGGCTTCAGAATCTTAATGTGTATACTCATCACTACTCTGTACATTAAGATTAACTACTTGAGAGTTTGGGGGTTCTGATGCAAGTTTCATCAATTTTATCCCTTTGAAAACTAAGTAAGTGCTATTCCCCTTTCATCTCCTCTGTTCCTTTCATTTCTCACCTTCCTTTGTTTGTTTCTGTTTTGGCCTCTCATAGACTCTGCTAGAAACAACTACTAGCCTTCTAAACCAAGATCTCCACTGGTCATTGTGTAACCTGAGAGCATCAGTCACCAGAGGACTGAATCCCAAACAGGACTACTGCTCCATATGTTTGCAGCAGTACAAGCGACGCCAAGAAATGGCTGATGAAATTATTGTCTTTAGGTAAGAGAAAGAAGGAAATGTAGCAGTATGGTATTTGTACATGTATGATACTACCAGGCAGGAATATGGATACACATGTGGATACATAGCCCCAGCCTGTTGTTCTAGCAATGAACAAGACTGGCAAGTGCCTGCCTTCATTGACCTTACTTTCTCCCCAGGGGTGAAAAGGAGCAGAGGTTTGGGCACTCGGACAATGAACAAATACAGAGTAGTAAGAGCTATGGAGAAAAATAAAACACTGGGCCAGAGGATGGAGGGAGGCAGTGTTCTGGAGGAGATGCTATTTTGAGAAAGCACAATGAGGGAAGGCGTCTCTGAGTAAGTGACATTTGAGCAGAGAGAGAGAGGAGAGAAGGTTCTGAGAAGAGTTTGTATTTAGAATATATTTTAAAGGTAGGCCTGATTGGCTGCTGTATCAGATATGGGAAGAGGGCGAGGGGTGGGGGGGAATTAGTTCTTTTGCCTGAGCAACTGGTGACCCTATTACCAGGAGTAACAGATGCAAGGAAATGAGGAAATCAAGAGGTTTTTACTTGCAGATGTTAGGTTTGGGATGGCTATTAAATATTGCAAGAACAATGTCAAGTAGATAGATGGTATAGTCAGAATCTGGAGACATGTTGAGACTGGAAATATGTCATCAGCATATAAGTGATATTTAAGCCACAGTGCAAAGGAGAGGTATAGTGCAGAAATAAAGGGGTTAGTCTCAGAGCAGAGATGGCCCATCCAGGATATCCAGGTACTGCAGACAGTCTCATGTGGACTTGAGCCAGATTTCAAGAATTAAGATCTTAACACCACCACGTGCTATCTGTAAGTCTCTAGGCAAGTTATTTAACTTCTTTGTATCTTTGTTTTTCCATCTACAAATTGAAATAACAACAGTACCTACCTAAGATTTTTTAAAGGTTAAATGAGATAATTTATGTAAGGTAGCTGTAATGGTAACCAGCATGAGTACTTCATTAATGGCAACTGTGCAGGAAAATGGATAGATTGGGTAGTTGGAAGAGGAAATAGTTCTTTTCACACACACAAAGAATGCACTATGGTTCAACAGGTTAAAGTCCTGGTATGCAGTGCCAGCATCCCATATGGGCACCAGTTTGAGTCCCAACTGCTCCACTTCTGATGCAGCTCCCTGCTGATGTGCCTGGGAAAGAAGCAGGAGATGGCCCAAGTGCTTGGACCCCTGTACCTGCATGGAAGACCTGGAAGAAGCTCCTGGCTCCTGCCTTTGGCCTGGCCCAGCTCTGGCTGTTACGGCCATTTGGGGAGTGAACCAGCAGATGGAAGACCTCTCTCTACCTCTGTCTGTAACTCTGCCTTTCAAATAGATAAAAGTAAATCTTTACAAAAGAAAGAATGCATTTATTCAGTAGATATTTATTGAGCACCTACTGTTTGCCAGGTACTGTTCAAGGAGATAGGAGACCTTGTAAAAGGATCTGCCCTCATGGAAATTTACATTCTAGTGGTAAACAAACAATATGAAATGCAGATGGTGTTAACCACTGTGGAAAAAAACGCAGTAAGGGAGAAACAAGGTTTTGGATAGAGGAGCTTCCAAGAAAGACATTGTTAAGGTGGTGGACAGACAGTTTTAAAAGTTGATAAAAATGTAATTAACAATTGCATGAGTAAAAATAAACCACGATGTAGAGGAAAAACATTGGGTGCCACGAGTATATAAAGAATAGTCAGGGAGCCGGCACTGCGGCTCACTTGGCTAATCCTCCACCTGCTGTGCCGGCATCCCGGGTTCTAGTCCCGGTTTGGGCACTGGATTCTGTCCCAGTTGCTCCTCTTCCAGTCCAGCTCTCTGCTGTGGCCCGGGAAGGCAGTGGAGGATGGCCCAAGTGCTTGGGCCCTGTACCTGCAGGGGAGACCAGGAGGAAGCACCTGCCTCCTGGCTTCGGATCGGCGCAGTGCGCCGGCCATGGCAGCCATTTGGGGGGTGAACCAACGGAAGGAAGATCTTTCTCTGTCTCTGTCTCTCACTGTCTTAACTCTGCCTGTCAAAAAAAAAAAAAGATTCACTTATTTTTTTAGGTTTATTTTTCTTTTTTAAGATTTATTTATTTATTTGAAGGTCAGAGTTATACACAGAGAGAGAAGGAAAGGCAGAGAGAGAGGGAAAGAGAGAGGTCTTCGATACGCTAGTTCATTCCCTAATTGGCTGTAACGGCTGGAGCTGCGCTGATCTGAAGCCAGGAGCCAGGAGCTTCTTCCAGGTCTCCCAACCTGGAAGGATTTGGGCCATCTTCTACTGCTTTTCCAGGCCATAGCAGAGAGCTGGATCAGAAGTGGAGCAGCCAGGACTCGAACCAGTACCCATATGAGATGCTGGCACTGCAGGTGGCAGCTTTACTCGCTACACCACAGCGCCAGCCCCCATGGTTCACTATTTAAGAGACATTTGGACAGAGACTAACAGGAAGTGGCTGTGCAGTCTGAGGGGCTAGGCCCAGGCGGAGCATCAGGACCAGGAGGCAGGAGCATCCCTGGCATCCTAAAGGAGTAATGAGTGAGTTGGCTAGTGACCCTAGCAGACGCAGGAGAAGGAAAGTGTTGAAAGAAGACTTCAGGCCGGCGCCGTGGCTCAACGGGCTAATCCTCCGCCTAGCGGCGCCAGCACACCGGGTTCTAGTCCCGGTCGGGGTGCCAGATTCTGTCCCGGTTGCCCCTCTTCCAGGCCAGCTCTCTGCTGTGGCCAGGGAGTGCAGTGGAGGATGGCCCAAGTGCTTGGGCCCTGCACCCCATGGGAGACCAGGAGGAAGCACCTGACTCCTGCCTTCAGATCAGCGCAGTGCGCCGGCCGCGGCAACCACTGGAGGGTGAACCAACGGCAAAGGAAGACCTTTCTTTCTCTCTGTCTCTCTCACTGTCCACTCTGCCTGTCAAAAAAGAAAGAAGACTTCAGAGGAGGAGCACAGGCCAAATTATGTAGGAGCTGGATTGGATCATTATAAAAAGTTTATCTTTTACTCAGAGATGAGAAGGCATTGGGTGATTCTGAGGTTAAGGATGGCATGATATGACTTGTATCTGAGGATCACTTTTTTTTTTAAAGTTTTATTTGTTTGTTTATTTGAAAGTCAGAGTTGGAGAGAGAAGCCTTCCATCTGCTGGTTCACTCCCCAAATGGCCACAATGGCGAGATTGGGTGAGGCCGAAGCCAGGAGCTTCTTCCAGATCTCCCACATGGGTGCAGGGGCCCAAGGACTTGGGCCATCTTCTACTGCTTTCCCAAGCACATGAGCAGGGAGCTGGATTGGAAGTGGGGCAACCAGGACTCAAACTGGCACCCATATGTCTGTACCCGCTACATCATGGTGCTGGCCCCTTAAGGATCACTCTTATGGCCATGTAGTGAAGGGATATAGGGGGTCACAGAGAAAGCAGAGCAGCTAGCTAGGCTGTGGCAGGAGCCATGTGAGAGGTGGCGTGGGGGACAGTAAAGAAGGGAGAAGCAGGAGTCTGGATATATTATAAAGGTGGAGCTGCTAGGATTTGATAATAGATTAGGTGTGGGGTATGAAAGAAAGAATGGTCAGTTTTAGTCTGAAACACCAGAAGGATATAATTGCCATTACTAAGTTGTAGAACTTTGAATGAGAACATGGGGTGGGGTGGAAGCCAGACCTCTAGGACTGGACATGTTATGTTTAAAACACCTGTTAGATACCTCAAGTAGAGAGATGGGGGTTCAGGAGAGGTCTGTGCTGAAGCGGTTAATGTGGTGATTAGGAGCAATGGGAGATAATTTAGAGCTATGGAGCTAGAAGTAATCTCTAAAGGAGCAAGGCCAGTTATAGAAAAGAGTATGGGAAAAAACAGGTTACATATGTGGGGGACAGAAAGAGGAGAGCAAGATTATAAAGACTATGGGACTAGAAAGAAAGAAGAATTAACTTCTGAGATAGTCCAACTTTCAGGTTGGAAAATGAAGGTGACTGAGAGTAATCTCAGCTCTCAATTTTTGGAAGCCTCATTTGTTAATTCTTTTTAAGAATTTACTGTATAGCAGTGACATTTTTGTAAGTGTTTAAGCCAATCATAACTGTTGCCTTGAATTTATGAGGCAGATCACTCATGTCATTATCAAGCTACTTACATAATTATGACTTTTCCCGATTGCCTTTTTTTCAAGCTATCTAAAAATACTGTCAAAATTTCATAGTTTGAGAAATGAACAGAAGTTCAACTCATCCTCCAGGTGGTTTGTAACTAGGGAACTGTGATTTTGTTCCTACTCACAAGTTAAATATACAAACATGTGAGTCGAGATTTTTTTTAAAGATTTATTTATTTGAAAGGCAAAGTTACAGAGAGAGAGGGAGAGATATGGAGAGACACAAAGAGGGAGAGAGAGATCTTCCATCCACTGGTTCATTCCCCAAGTGGCCATTAACAGCCAGGGCTGGGCTAGGCTGAAGCTGGAAGCTTTTTCCTGGACTCCCACACGGATGCAGGGACCCAAGTACGTGGGCCATCTTCTGCTGCTTTCCCAAGCACATTAGCAGGGAGCTGGATGGAAAGTGGAGCAGCCAGAACTTGCCCATATGGGATGCCAGCACTGCAGGCAGCAGCTTAACCCATGCAGGACAGTGGTGGCTCCTGAGTCTGGATTTTTATAAGGAGAGGACCACAAGAAGTACCTTTCCTTTCTTGTTTCCTACAACCCTCAGTGCACTGCAGCTTATTGGAAATCTTTATTGCTTGTAAATACTCTGTATAATAACTTAACATTTATGGTTTTTATTATAATGAAAAGTGAAAATTGATTGCCTTCATTTTGCAGCTGTGGCCATTTGTATCACTCATTCTGTCTACAAAACAAAGAATGCACCATAGAAGTTGAAGGCCAAACAAGATGGACATGTTACAAATGCAGCTCAAGTAACAAAGTAGGAAAACTAAGTGAAAATTCGTCTGAAGTTAAAAAGGGAAGGATAACCCCATCACAGGTAAGACTTTTGTTAATGGCAAGATGCAGGTGGTTGTTTCTTGCTAGTCTTTTAGGTGTGGTCTCATTTTCTTCAGGTCCTGTAGGCTCCAGCAAGTTTACCTGATGAGTACTGAGTGCATGACATCTTTTTAGTCTGTCTTAGTGTTTGAAAAGACTCTCCTCTCTGCCTAGCACTGAACAACATGGCTTTGAGGGCAACAGGAGATGTTTTCTGCCTTTGAGAAGCCTGAGATCCAGCTGAACGGAGAAGTTGTACACAAGTCTCCTTGTAAGAACATTTGGCTGGGGCCAGTGCTATGGCACAGCAGGTTAAGCCACAGCCTGCACCACCAGCATCCCATATGGGTGTCAGTTTGAGTCCACTGCTTCATTACCGGTCCAGCTCCTTGCTGGTGGGCCTGGGAGAGCAGCAGCAGACAGCTCTGGTTCTTAGGCTCCTGCACCCACTTGGGAGACCTGGAGAAAGCTCAGGGCTCTTGGCTTTGGCCTGGCCCAGCCACAGTTGCTGGGACCATTTAAGGAGTGAGCCAATGGTTGGGGGACTCTCTCCCTCTCCCCCTCTGTCTCTGTCTCTCCTTGTCTCACTCTGTGGCTCTGCTTTCAGATAAATAAATGTCTTTTTTTAAAAAAAGAATGTTTATCTAATGAGGAACTACCTGTACACTAAAGAGTACAGAATTAGCACTTTAATGTAGGGCTGATACAAGTGCATAAACATGTGCTTGTGCATGGTTTTCTCAGCCAGGTAACTGTCTTCAAAGTACGTAATGCAGTAGTGTTCATTTGAGTAGTTTTTATTGCTTTTGGAGTATAATAGACTAGATTAAAAAAAAAAGCCTTAGGGTTTTTGTTTGTTTGTTTGTTTGTTTGACAGGCAGAGTGGACAGTGAGAGAGAGAGACAGAGAGAAAGGTCTTCCTTTGCCGTTGGTTCATCCTCCAACGGCCGCCGCGGCCGGCGCACTGCAGCCGGCGCACCGTGCTGATCCGGAGGCAGGAGCCAGGTGCTTCTCCTGGTTTCCCATGGGGTACAGGGCCCAAGCACTTGGGCCATCCTCCACTGCCTTCCCGGGCCATAGCAGAGAGCTGGCCTGGAAGAGGGGCAACCGGGACAGAATCCGGTGCCCCGACCGGGACTAGAACCCGGTGTGCCGGCGCCACAAGGTGGAGGATTAGCCTAGTGAGCCGTGGTGCCGGCCTGTTTGTTTTTTTTTTTTTTTTTGAATCTATCTACAGATCACACTTATTTGACAGAGTGGATATGCTATTATTGTTTTTTAATGTTTACTATTATTTATTTTCATGTACTTGAAAGAGGAGAGAGAGTCTTCCATCTACAGATTCACTCCCTCAAATGCCTGTAACAACCAGGGCTAGGTCAGGGTGAAACCAAGAGCCCAGAACTCAATCTGGGTCTCCCACATGGGTGGCAGGGATCCAAGCACTGGACCCATTATCTGCTGTCTCCTAGGTGCAGTAGTAGGAATACTGGATCAGAAGCAGAGTAGCTGGAACTTGAACTGGATTCTGATATGGGATGCAAGTGTCACAAGCAATGGCTTAACCCAGTGTGCCACAATACCCACCCCCAACCTTGGTTTTTAAGCAGGCAGTAGAGCAGAGTTTGAACTCTACTGCTTGGTAGCTTTTGCAAGAGCAGAACTTGACAGCACAAGGTGTTCAGTGTAGAGAAGAAGTTCAGTGTGAAGAAGACAAGTCACAGCTGTGACTTAATCACTGTGCCATCCTCTAGGGTGCTCCTCCTCTGAAGTGGTTCCACACTTGCTGCTGCATGTCCTTCCTCTGTGGCACCGTGTGCTGTAGTCAGCCTTGGCGTCACATACTGAAAAGCTAGACTTGTCACTTTTCTTGGTTTGTTTCATCAGCTTTAAAGGAGAGCCAGGGAGGACCTCTTGACTAGCTTCTCTTCCAAAGAACAATTGAGAACTTCTCTACCCCAGTGGTAGGCACCCCATTTATATATTCACTGAATCAGTTTTGAACAGCGTGATGTTCACTGTGTGCAAACATGGTCTTGTCCTGAGGAGTTTAGTCAATGAAATGGCAAACATGTTTTGAATAACTGCTCTCAAGTTCTTTCCGATTCTAAATATATAATGTCTTCCAACACTGGTTATGACACCAGTTCTCTAATTATCATCTGAGTGGCTCACAATTCTAATCAATTCTTATATTAACCACCTGCAGTTAGAAATGTCCAGGTTTGAGGCTTCAGTGGTATAAGACTGCTCTTAATTTAAATGCCAGTCACAAAGCAGATTCTAGGCTACCCACACTTCTGTCTAACTTGGCCACAAATTCAGAGATCCCCATAATCTCCCATCGGGTTCTATAATTCACTAGAATGACTCACAGGACTCAGGAAAACGTCTGTTTTTCTTTTTTATGTTTACAAATTTACTTTTTAAAAGTTGCAGCTGAAGAACGGCCAAATGGAAGGGATGCATGGGGTAGGTCTAGGGTAGGAATGAGGAGTGGCAGATGGCCCAAGCCCTCTTCAGACCCATCAGTGTCTTCACCAACCCAGGTCACGGCAACTCAGTCACTTGATGATTGATTATTTGTGATTGGATTCTATCTCCAGTCCTTTCCCCTTCCCACAGGTCGAGGGATGGGGCTTGAAATTCCCAAACCTTTCATCATGGCTTGGTCTTTCTGGCAATAGCCTTCATTCTGAAGTTATCTAGGGGTCCCCAGCCACCATTCATCACATGAGCATGCAAAAGACACTCTGATACTCCGGAGATTCCAAGGGTTTTAGGAGCTCTGTGCTTTGAACCTAGAATGAAGGCCAAATATATGCATCTTTATTGTACTACATGCATTTACAGGTGAACTGTAAGAGCAAATAAGGAATACACCTGAACCAGATGTGAGGACTCATGAAAGGCTTTCTAGAAGTGCCATGTGAGCTTCCCATAAAGGAAAGAAAAGAATAAGCTAGACAAGTGTAGGGCAAGTGGAGACTAGTGGAGGAGTACTGTAGACAGAGCAAACTGTAGGCAGGACAAACAGAAAGGAAGCAGGAGGGCGCATAGGTCTAGAAGTTGAGCATGATTAAATCTAGAGGGTGTATATTGAGGCAAGTGAGGCAAGCAGAGACTATATTAATAATTGCGATGTTTGTACTAAATTTAAGAACAGGGAAGACTTTGGAAAGTTTTAAGGGAAAAATGATCTGATCAGAATAGGATTCGTGTATAGTATTGTTTAAATTAATTAGTTAATTAATTTAAAAGGCAGAGAGAAAGATCCTCCATCTACTAGTTCACTCTCCAAATACCCCACAACAGCCAGAACTGCTACACAAAGCCAGGAGTCCAGGACTCCATCTGAGTCTCTCATATGAGTAGCAGGAAACCAAGCACTTGGACCATCATCCACTGCCTCCCATGCACATTACTAGGAAGCTGGACTCAAACTGGCACTCCAGTATGGGATGTGGGCATCCCAAGATGGATCTTAACTCTGTACCACAAGGCCGGACCCCAGACTAATATTTGTAAAATAACTCTCTAATTGCAGTGCACAAGAAGCAGGAATGGATGTAGGGAGACCAGAAACCACTGAAGGAATTTAGAAGAGAGCAGTGATAACTTTTACTGGAATGGTACAAGTAGAGATGGACGAAAGTCTTCATATTTTAGATGTGTTTGAGATAAGCACACAAAACAGCAAGAAATTAGTTACTGCCTACCTCAGTAGCCTTAGCACATACCACTGTTTCATCCAATCATGCTCAACTTCTACTTCCATGCTGTTCTGTGCTTCATGGGAGAGGTGTTGTAGTTAGCATGACTTGGTGATAAATGAAGTTGTTGGAGGAAGTGAGACAGAGGGAGAAGTCAAAAATGGCACCCATATTTTTTAACTGAACAACTGAATGCATGGTGGTATCATTTACTAAGTGAACAATAAGCAAAGAACAGATTTGAGAGTAAGATACAGAGTTCATTGTTGGAGTTAGAGATGTCTAAGATGTATAGGTAAAGATTTTCAATCAAGTTTCCAGATTAAAAATTCTATTAACAAATCATCTAAAATGCTTCCTTGTTTGCATTCAGGAAAGGAAAGACAGGTTCTGTTATTTCCAGGGTTTTCAAGTTGAATCCAAATTTAGACGGGGGAACTTTTATTTATACCGATCTTTTTATGTTCTTTTTTTTTCTTTGACAGGCAGAGTGACAGTGAGAGAGAGAGACAGAGAGAAAGGTCTTCCTTTGCCATTGGTTCACCCTCCAATGGCCGCCGCGGCTGACGTGCTGCAGCCGGTGCACCGTGCTGCAGATGGCAGGAGCCAGGTACTTATCCTGGTCTCCCATGGGGTGCAGGGCCCAAGCACTTGGGCCATCCTCCACTGCACTCCCTGGCCACAGCAGAGAGCTGGCCTGGATGAGGGGCAACCAGGACAGAATCCGGTGCCCCGACCGGGACTAGAACCCGGTGTGCCGGCGCCGCAAGGCGGAGGATTAGCCTAGTGAGCCACGGCGCCGGCCTATACCGATTCTTAAGGCATTACATCTTGAGCTCTTCAGGTTTTTTTTTCCTCTGAGTTATATCCCATTCATAACCAACTTATGATTGCATGTATGTTATTGCCTAGATAATGCCAATTAGATCTTTTTCTTCCTAGACAGTATTCAGTGTTAAAATTGATTTGTTTTCCTTTAAAACATTTTGCTTAGAAACAATAAATTCATCTTTTGTGAATTTTGACAAGTACTTCCACAACTAAGATATAGAGTAGTAGTATTGCCCCCATAAACAGTCTTCCACGTCTCTTAACAATAAATCTTTCCCCCTCAACCCCTGGCAACCACTAACCCATTCTGAGTTAATTTTTTATATAGGATCTAAAATATAGAGTGAGGTTCATTCTTTTGCATGTAGATATCCATTGAATTGCCTTTATACCTTATTCAAAAACAACTGGCCATGTATGTGTAGGCCTGTTATATTCTGTTTCATTGATCTAGCTA